CAGACCACAGAATCTCAGGGGACAACACCAGCATCAACAGCCTCCTCTGCCAGGTCTACCACTCTGACAGCAGCTCAGTCCACAACCCCTACTCAACAGTCAGCCACCTCCCAGACCACAGAATCTCAGGGGACAACAGGAGCCCCAATACCAACAGCCTCCTCTACCACTTTGACAACAGCTGAATCCACAACCCCTACTCAACAGCCAGCCACCTCCCAAACCACAGGATCTCAGGGGACAATACCAACAGCCTCCTCTGCCAGTTCCTCTCCTCTGAGAACAAGTGAATCCACAACTCCTACTCAACAGCCAGGCACCTCCCAGACCACAGAATCTGAGGGGACAACAGGAGCCCCAATACCAACAGCCTCCTCTGCCATTCTGACAACAGCTGAATCCACAACCCCTGCTCAACAGCCAGCCAGCTCCCAAACCACAGAATCTCAGGGGACAACAGGAGTTCCAGTACCAACAGCCTCCTCTGCGAGCTCCTCTCCTCTGACAACAGCTGAATCCACAACCCCTACTCAACAGCCAGTCACCTCCCAGATCACAGAATCTCAGGGGACAACAGGAGCCCCAACACCAATAGCCTCTTCTGCCAGCTCCTCTTCTCTGACAACAGCTGAGTCCACAACCTCTGCTCCAGTGATCACAACCGTATCCCTCTCAAGGAGCACAGGTTCAACAGGAACTGAGACCCTTTTCTCTACTACAGGCAGTATTGTTACAGAGTCACCTACTGTGCAAACATCACCCACTCGCTGGAGCCTTGTCAGCATTCCTGGATCGACAACACAAACTTCTCCTGCTGTTTCCAAGCCATGGACAGAGAACACCATTTCTGAGATATCCACTAGTCAACAGCCAGGAACCTCCCAGGCCACAGAAACTCATGGAACCATACCAACATCAACACCAACACCATCAGCCTCCACTCTCAGCTCCTCCACTCTGACAACAGCTGTATCCACCACCCCTGCTCCGGGGATCACAACAGTACCTCAGTCAGCGATGGCTGATTCAACTATTCCTACCACTCTTGTGGTAGGAATTTCCTCCACTCCAGGGAGTACTTCTCCAGAACCATCTACTTCTGTTTTCATCACAACTGTTGCTTCTTCCCCTTTCAGTCTCAGCTCCCCAACTGTGACAGCAGGAGCTTTTCCTGTGCACACTACCCTCACTACCACAGAAAGAAGCACCCTTTCCCAGACAGTAAGCACAAATGCAACCCTCAATGAGACAATCCTTCCTGTAACAGTCCCTTCCTTGGATCATGATCCAGTTAGTAGAACATCTGTGCCCACCACTAAGAACCAGGTACCTGTAAGCACAACCACTCCCACAGTCCATTCTGGGTCCGCTGCTCCGATAGCACCCTTTGTGAGTTCTGCAAGCCCCCCAGGCAGCACACCTCACACCACACTTGTTGCATCAGCATCATCCTTGTCCCAACCACCAACCAAGACAGCAGCATTGACTTCCTCAGGACCTACCATTGGTGAGAGTCCAGCACCATCTTCACAGTCAACCAGTAGCTCTGCATTCACAGAGATTACTACTGCCACTCCAGGACTGCCATCCAGCCCTCCTAGCTCTACATTAAGTACATCAAGTACCATCACTGATTCAGTCACCTCCACACAGTTCCCCATTATGTTGACCTCTGGAGCCACTGTCATTGCAAACCAGACTCTTCCATCCACAAGTCATATCACTACTCCACCTGTTGGGATCACATCCAAACCTAGCACTCTCCAGTCTAGCACAACCATCCAGATGACTTCTGAGAATGCTACAGCCTCCGTAGCTTCAGGTCAGTGGGAGCTCTATTGTCTTTTTTTTTTTTTTTTTTTGCAATGTCCACTTTGAGTCACTGCAACCTGAGGAAGCCTCCTAATTTTGAGGCAACAAGGCAGCACAGGGGACAGACTGTTAGACTTGGTATCGTGCAGACCTGAGTTCAAATTCTACTTCAGACACTTATTAACCAAGGTGAAGTCACTTAATCTCTCTTAGCCTCAGTTTCCTCATCTTTAAAATGAGGAAACAATGGACTCAATCACCTTTAAGGTCCTTTCCTGCTCTAAATCTATGACCCTATGAGAGAGAGATAGAGTCAGAGAGACACAGAGAGATAGAGATAGAGAGAATGAGAGATGAGTTCATTGGAATGAGGTGGGCTAAGGACAGGGAGAGTCAGATGCTTAGAGCTAAGAAGAGTGAAGGAAGCTTTTGGAATGCCCTTCCTAGGAATATTTAAGAAGACAATGATCTTTACCTGTAGAAGGTGGTTTATGGGCTTATGGGGTTAAGGGGGTTATGACCTCCAGGAATCACTTTTTATAAGCTGACAGAAAGAATGAATAAGTGAGTGAATGAATGAATAATTGAACTCAAAAGCATTTATTAAGCACTCACTGTTTGCAAAGCCTAGTGCTAAGTGCCAGGGGTATACATAGAAAACCAAAGCACTCCTTGTTCTCAGGGACCTTATATTCTAATGGGGGAAATAACACAAGAGGAGTTTTCAAGTCAGATGGAAAAGCCCAATGGTTCTTATGGTATGGCAACAAACCATCTCCTTAGTGTCTTTCCACTAATAAAAGCATATATATTTCTGATGTTGAGCTATTTGATGGTGCCAAGGACTTGGATGGTGAGAGTTTTCTTTTCTAGGTCTTCCTCATCCATGGCTGCTGCAGAGAGACATTTGGCAGGGCCCTCCTTCACAAGGCTTGCTCTCCTGGACAATGGCTGTGGGGGCCAGTCTGGAAACAGTTATGGGGTGGGTGGGTGGATGGGATTACTATAATCCCTAGGAGTCCTTGGTGTCTCATGGTGAGACAACATTCCACCCTTCTCTTTCCGTGGCTGATGGAGAACCCTCCCTCTCCTAAACCTAGAAATGACAACCTCTCCAGCAAATCTACCACGGACCCACAGTGAAAAGAATACAGCCACAACACCACTTCAAACTACCCTCCCTGCCCTGCTAGCTTCCACTCCAGGAATATCTACCATCACCCAACCAAGAACATCTACAACCACCACTAGTCCCTTTACAGTTAAGGTCTGCTCTATGTCCATGTCTGGCTGGAGATTAAAGGATGTGTTGGGAAAAGGTGTTATGTAGTTCTATCTAACCAAGAGGCAAGCCTGGGAACTAGGAAATCTATGTCCCTATTATGGCATTTAAAAAGTCTGAGAGACATAACCTCTGGGTAATTTAATCATTTTATTAATGAACAAAAGAATGATCATTTGGCCATCTCTCTTTTAGACCAAAGACAATCATGGCTGTGGGCTCGTGGCTTATAATATGCCCATTGGAAGATGGGTGTTCCCGAGAGTGGCACTCTGATTGGTTAACAATTTATGAGGTCGTGAATATTACAATGAGGGGATGAACTGATTCAAATGAACTTTGATTATGTCATTTACTTTTAAGTTAACCCCAACCTTGGGCAATCTATTCAAAAAATTTATCCTCACTCCAACTTGAGAGCACAATGGCTTCCCCACCTGGGTGGGGTCTGGACAAGGTTGTTAAGAAAGTTGGTCCAATCTTATTATCAATAATGTCCTTCAAGAGACTGAACTTTTGAAATTAGGACTTTAGAAGAAGGGGGGAAAAAAAGAAAAAGAAAAATGGGGAATTCTGGATCTCCCCAAATCTTTGGTTATTAATACTCATTTCTCTCACTTAGTTCTACTGCTGATGGTCTAAGTCTCCTGGGACTAGTTTTTTAGCCTCTCCTCACCTCTATTGCTTAATAATAACAACTATTACTATTATATGTAAATAACTATATAGTGCTTAAAAATGTACAAAAGAGTTTATATTTTATCTCTTTTGACCTCAAGAGCTCTTTGAGGTAGGGCCTCAAATATATTACGATCCCCATTTTATGGATGAGGAAACATTCACAGAGGTTAAATGACTTGCCCATGGTCATGGTTAAACGGAGGACTCAGACCCAGAATTTCCTGCCTCCATATTGTCTATCCATATTACCTCTGGATCCTGGGGAGTCTGAGTGCTGTCCTGTCACCACTGCACTAGGCAAAGGCGACAACAATTATCCCATAAAGAGAGCAGCTAGGTGGTGCAGTGGATAGAGCACCAACCATGAAGTCAGGAGGACCTGAGTTCAAATCTGGTCTCAGACCAAACACTTGACACTTACTAGCTGTGTGACCCTGGGCAAGTCACTTAACCCCAATTGCCTTGAAAAAAAAATTATCCAATAAGTCCACTCTTTTACATATGAGCTGAGAAATTACAATTGGAAATTTCCCACACTTCTCCACTGTGCAATGATTCTGGAAACAGGAGCAACAGGAGCCTAAAAGAACAAGAAGAGAGCATCAGTGCTGAACACAACCCCTGATTTTATGTAGGGACTGACCAGGTGGATTTGCTTTGGAAGATGAATCCTTTTAGCTATGGTCAGGCTTCCCTTACAAAGGTCTCTCATTTCTCTTCTACTTCCATTTTCAGGTATTCCACTCTTCCCCTACAGACAAGACCAAAGATATGTCAGTATGAGAGTGGACTTTACTGTAGGAGTCTTCAGGCCTCAGATTGGATTCCCCTTTGGTTCCAAGGTCCGGGATTTCCTCTATGTAAGTCACATTGAAGAGCTTCTGCTGGCCTAGCCAATTAGTGGCTTAGCCTCTCTGCTGTGCCTCCTAGCTCTGGGACCCCCTGACTCAGAAACCTCAACTCTAGCCCCAAGCTACTCTTTGGTATTTGTTTGAGTTAATCAACAACTTAGAGGGTTCTTTTGGTCTCAGAGTTCTTAACCTGGACCCCAAAGGGGTCCATGGATAGACTTCAGGGATTCTATGATCTGGGATGGGGGGAAAATACATCTTTATTTCACTAACCTCTAATGGAAATTAAGTATTTCTTTCAATTATTTAAAAATATTATGCTGAGAAAGGGTCCCTAGACTGTGCCATATTCTTAGGTGGTCTTTGAATATACATGGGATGACGAATGAGTTTATGGGATGATTTAAAAAAAAATTTATTCTGAATTCATCAAATGCTTAGTAGATGGGCTATTTGCCTATGCATCTCAAGACAGAAAAAAAGATTGTACACGAAAACACAGGTCTCTTCTATGTATAGGCTGCTTTTCTTTTTATACATATAATAAGATCAAACTGTCTTCCTTGTCTGGCCTTCTTTTTGTCTTGCCTTCTGTTCTCTTCTCTATATTTAACAAAAGATGTCTCAGTGACCCTCTTGTCTTTCTTTTTTTCCTTTGTTCCTGCCCTATCCCTATTTCCCCCTCTCCTTCCACCTTCCTCTGCCCAATGGAAAAAAAAAGTAAAATAAAATCCTTATAATAAATATGCCTAGTGAAGCAAAATATATGAGATGATTTAAAAGACTAACCTGAAGGTAAGGGGATGGATGATATATATACCAAGATACATGCCATCTCTATGACGCCAACTACTACCTCATCTGCACATTCAACTAAACTAAGCTCCTGGTTCCCTCCCCCTCTTCTGCTAAGAGCACCTGGGCCTGAAACGCTAACATGACTACCTTCAGTTTACAGACAATGGCCAGATCATCTTCCCACCCTCAGAATTTGATATTTTCTTCTACCCGAACCCACCTCCAAGGGGCTTTACAGCCAACTACAGTTTGGCCACAGTGGCTGCATTTTGGGATGATGCTGACTTTTCCAGTGGTCGAGGAGAAATATATTACCAGGTGGGTATGACTGGTTTGGTTCAAATGGTACTAAGGGGATCTAGAATTGAGTGGGAGGAATGGAAAGTAGGTGATGAAAAAAATGACTAAGAATCAGGATCAAGGACACCCAGACAAGAGAATCAGCAAGGTTAAGTGGACAAAGAGCTGTTCTACCTCTGATGCCCACAGGCTGTGTGACTTTAGGTGAGTCATTTGACCCTGCTGTGACCCAGGAAATTCTCTAAGATACACTGTGAGCAGATGCCAATTTAGGGTGTTTCCTCTCCAGAGTTCCCTATATCAATGAAATCACACATCAAAAATAGATTATTTCAAGAACCTTGCTTTAATAAACTTGGATCATGTCAAAAAGTATTCCTCTGATCCTGGACTGGATTACTGGTTCCATTGCCATTCATTCAGTCAAAAATATTGATTGAGCATCTGCTATGTGCAAGGCATTGTGCTAGGGAATGAAAAAGAAACAGGGCTGAAATGAATGAAGTACAATCCTTGCCTTCTAAAAGCTTACAGTCTGTCCCCCATGTCCTCCACCTTAAGGAATTCCTAGTTCCATTCTGGTTTCAGCTTGAGTCCCCTCCTACAAAAGGTCCTAGTCTAGGGGTGGGGAACCTTTGGTCTTGAGGCCACGTGTGATCTTCTAGATCCTTAAAGTTCTGCCTTTTGATTGAATCTAAATTTTACAGAATCTTCCATAAAATTTGGATTCAGTCAAAAGGCCGCACTTAAGCATCTAGAATATTACATGTGGCCTCAAGGCCACAGGTTCCCCACTCCCGGATTAGTCATTCTCCTGAGGTCCAATCCCTTGTTGTCCCACATCACCAACTCCTTATTAGACATTTTGAATGGGTTATGCTGTAGACATTTCTAAAATCAATTTGTCTGAAACAGAACTCATTATCTTTTCCCAAAACCCCCTCCTTTTCCTAAATAATCTATTTTTCTTGAGGTTACCACCATGCTTTCAGTCGCACTCCTTTGCAATGGTCATCTTTGACTTCATTCTCAGTCATATCCAATTCATTTCCAAGACTGCATGGTATGTCTCAAACTCATCCCCTTCTCTTCACATGCAGCCACTACCTTAATTCTCCATCACCTCTGACCTGGAATATTGAAATAGTCTCTTAATCGGCCTTCTTCCCTCAAGCGTATTCCTTATCCATCCCCCACACATCTGCCAAAGCTCAGGTTTGGCCATATCGCTTCTTGGTTCAGTGACCTCCAGGGGCTCCCTATCGTATAGGGTCAACTGTAAACTCCTGTCTTTAGCATTGAAATAATAGCTAACAATAATAGCTCTCCTTTATATGGTGCTTTAAGGTTTGCAAAGCTCAGTACAAATGAAATCTCATTTAAGCCTCACAACCTACGGGGTAGGTGATAGATGTTATCACCATCAAACCCACTTGTTGGGCCATATTTACTTTACTCCTCTTTCATTCAAATTGGCCTTCTTCGTGTTTCTCCTACGTGGCATTCTTCTCTCCTTGCCCATGTCTTTACCCTGACCACCTCCTACTGCCTGGTTGTACTCTCTTCTCATTTTTACTTCTTAGAATCTCTAGTTTCCTTCAAAGATCAGCTAAGTCACTACAGGTCTTCCACCAGCCGTTTTCCTCATCTCTGCCGCTTCTAAGAAGTCTCCCGAAATTTACCTTGCCCGATACTCTGTATATATTTTGTATTTCTTTTGACGTGTACGCCCGTGGTCTCTCCTGATAAAATGCAAGTTCCCCGGGCAGCAGGGACTTTTTGCCTTGGTGCTTCCAGGCCTTAGCACACAATAGGTGTTTAATAAATGCTTGATGGCGTAGTCCTCCTCTGAAGCCGGGATATGCGGTGCGTCCGCGGACCTGCGGGGAAGAAGAGTCGTTGGGAGGAGAGAAGGGGTTGAGTGCCAGCAAGTCTGGGCTCCGGAGGGGCTCGCCATGGCCAGCAAGTCGCAGGGCATCCAGCAGCTTCTGCAGGCAGAAAAGAGCGCTTCAGAAAAGATTGCCGAAGCCCGCAGGCGAAAGTTCGAGAGACTGAAGCGGGCCAAGAAAGAAGCTCAGAATGAGGTGGAAAAGTACCGACTGAAGAGGGAGGAGGAATTTAAGGCCAAGGAACTTGAGACCCTTGGGAGCCACAGCATGTCCAGCGTCGAAATAGAGAAAGAAACCCAGGAGAAATTAGACTTAATCCAAGACCAGTTCCGGAAGAACAAGGAGGCAACTGTGGAATTCCTGTTAGATTTGGTGTATCAAATTCAGCCCAAACCCCGTGAAACCAAACTCATTTTATAATTAGGGAAAAGAAAGAGAAAGAAGGAGAGAAAGAAAAGGAAGGAAGGAAAGGATGAAGAAAGAAAGACCAAACTCATTATATAATTAGGGAAAAGAAAGAGAAAGAAAGGAGGAAAGAAAGAAAGGAAAGGAAGGAAGAAAAGGAGGAAGAAAGAGAGAAAGAAAAAAAAGCGAGCCCGTATTTCATAGGTTGGCGGTTCAGTTGCCCTACTGTACAATGTGAAGTTTTAGCCATGCTGTAATTATATTCTTGTGTGGACACTTCAAATCACTTCTGTATAGTATTCAGTATATACATCAACCTTGTCGGAGACTAGAGAATCTAGCTATATACATGTTGAAAGCTCATCCAAAGATTTAGTAATAGTCTTGTCTCTTATTTCTTACTATCTCTTATAATGAGTACAACTTTTTCTAGGCATTTTGTTGGTAAACTGGAGAATCCTACACCACTTTTCTCAGTGGTCTTAGTGCAGGAGAAAATTCCTTAAAGAAAGAAGGAAGCTAACTAAATTCAAAGAGAGAAGAAAGGGGTTAAATTAGTCAATTCTATGGGGGCAATGCTACTCTGCTTTCATAGTGGGTCTTAGTGCAGAAGAAAATTCATTAAAGAAAAAAAGTTTAAAAGAATATGCAGTTCTATGTAGCTTTCTAAAGGGCATAATTATTGTAAACATCAAGGAAATCTTGAGAAGTAAATGGGTATCCTTAAAATAGCTCCATCTAGATGGGGGTCAGTGTAATGTTATTGATACAGCTATTTAGGATCTTTTGAGTTAACCTTGATCGAACAGAACCAGCTGACAGAACTCAGGTGCCTAAAAATACCTGTTACATTTAGAATAGGGATGGTCACTTGAAAGTAAAGATTCTTTAACATAAGTGCTCCTTAGCTTGCATCTTTTCCTCTGGTTCACACTTTTTTAAACAAATATTTAAAAAAAAGTTCTTTAACCCAGCTGCTGTACAACATGTTGCTTGGGAAATTAGCAGTGCCCAAAGGTTTTGCTGTTTTTTTTTTTTTTTAAAGATACATGTGCATTGTGGGAAGCTTAGGAAGAAAAATAGTAGTTTTCCCCAACAGTTTTTCCTAACATTATTTGCCTTGTTTTCAGAGGCCCTCCACAGAACTTGTTTTGGATATCTTATTTTTAAAGTGGCTGCTTTTCTAGTGTGCTAGATGTCTCAAGCCTGTAGCAGCTTCATGCTAGCTTCAAGCATTTGAGTGTCTTACATACGTATCGTGCACTTCCGCTTGGTGCTCAGTGTTTTGTTGAGGCAGGCTCTAAGGTTATAGATACAAAGAACATACCTGCCAACCTTCAGGGAACTCTTAAGAAGTTTACTCCTTTGCTGTGGTTAAGCTTTGTAAATTGAGGTAGAGAGCACTGGGATTTATGGAGGGATTTGAATCAGAACCACATATTTCAGTGCTGATTCAGCCTCCCCATTTTAGGGGAGGGCTGGTTATCACATTAGCAGCATCTTTATAAATCTTAAAGATTTCAAAATTGTCACTGAAACTATTTAAATTGGGACCCCAGAGGTTTATAAGATTTGATAACTTTAGGTTAACCCTTAAGCATATGTTTTCCAGTTCCCCTAGAGCAGGAGTGGGGAACTTTCAGCCTCGAGGCCACATGTGGCCTTGTAGGTCCTCAAGTGTGGCTCTTTGACTGAGTCCACAAAGGGTTCTGTGAAGTATGGATTCAGTAAGGGCTGCACTTGAGGACCTAGAGGGCCACATGTGGCCGCAAGGCCGAAGGTTCTCCACACCTGCCCTACAGTGAGTTCAACTAGGTAATCCTTTCCAGTTCTGACTCCTAGAAAGGACCCTACTATCTTAAACAAGCATTGTATAAATCTGCCCAAGTCGATTGAAAGTACTCCACTACAGTTTTGCCAATGGGATAGGGATAGGGCCTGGACCTCAGTTTTTACTGATAGAAGGAACTCTGTGGTGAAGAAATTCCTACAAATATCAGTCAGCATCTTCACTGTGACTTAATAGTCCTCATCTATTTGCCAATAGGCTCCCCCCCCCAATCTTAGGCCTGTAAGGATTGACTCTTTCTCAAATATATAGAGAAATGAGTCAAATTTATAAAAATATGAGTCATTCCTCAATTGATAAATGGTCAAAGGATATGAACAGGCAGTTTTCAGACAAAGAAATCAAAGCTATCTATAGTCATATGAAAAATGCTCTAAATCACTATTGATTAGAGAAACACAAATTAAAACAACTCTAAGATATCACTTCACACCTATCAAATTGGCTAAAAAAAGGACAAATGACAGAAAAAGGAAAATGTGGATGTTGGATGGGATGTAGGAAAACTGGGATACTAATGCACTGTTGGTGGAATTGTGAACTAATCCAGCAATTTTGGAGAGCAATTTGGAACTATACCTGAAGGCCTATAAAACTGTGCATATCCTTGATCCAGCAATACTACTGCTAGGTCTATGTTCCAAAGAGATCCAGAAAAGGGAGAAATGACCTATTTGTACAAAAAAAATATTTATAGCAGCTCTTTTTGTGTTGGCTGAGAATTGGAAATTGAGGGGATGTCCATCAATTGAGGGATACCTAAACAAGCTGTGTGTAATGGAATATTATTGTGCTGTAAGAAATGACAAGCAGGATGATTTCAGGAAAACCTGAGAACACTTACATTAAGTGATGCATAGCGAAGTGAACAGAACCAGTAGAACGTTACACACAGTAACAGCAATCTTGTTCAATGGAGAATTGTGAATGACTTAGCTATTCTCAGAAATACAATGATTTCAAAACAATCCCAAAGAACTAATGATGAAGCATGCTATCTGCCTCCAGAGAAAGAACTGATATTGTTTGAATACAGACTGAAGCATACTATTTTTCACTCTCTTTCTTCCATATTTTTTCTTTTAATTCATCTCTTTGTGTACAAAATGACTAATATGCAAATGTTTTACATAATTGTGCATGCGTAACCTATATTTGATTGCTTATCATCTGGAAGGAGGAGGAAAAGAAGGACAGAATTTGAAACTCGAAACTTTATATAAAAATGATAAAAAAAAATTTTAAAAAGAAAGAATTGTTTGATTCATAGAATTTACATTGACCTTTCTCACATTTTTACCTGTTGCCATTTTACAACTTTTATTTCTCCTCATTTCACTTTAGTCTACTTTCTCTCAAAACACAACCCCACTCCCAGCAGGCCCCTGCTGTGAGTCTTTTCAGAAATTCCTGCCTTTCATGCCTCATCCTCTCCCTTTTCTGCCAAAAAGAAATCTAAAGAAAAGGCATCGTGTTGCTATTGAAAACCAAAGGCAGGTATTTCTATCTGGACTGGCAAGAGAAGGTTTCATGCAGAAGTAGCATATGAGCTGGGCTCTGAAAGATCAGTCAATAAGTACATGCCAGGCACTGGGATAGGCACTGGAGATACAAATGCTAAGAATGGGTAGGATTTAATTAGAGAGACTAAGAGAGGAAAGATGTCCAGCTAGATCTTTCCTGCTAGGAGTCCTCTTCGAGCCCCAGTCTTATTCATCTGTTTTTACCTCCCTGTGACTTGGCACAGCTCTGCCTCACTTAAATCCAATTCACTTGCAAGTCATGGCATCACCTTCCCAATGTCATGGTCCTCTTCGAGAACTAAGGACAAACAACAACCTCCCCATGAATCCTAGCTTCCTCCTGGTGGCCAGACTTCTAATTGATCCTGTGTTCAGAATAGATGATCCCCTTCTAAGGTGGAAATCCAGGCCTAGGGAAAGGAAGTCAGAGGTCTGAAAGACCTAGTGGAAAGAACACTTGATTAGAGGCCAAAAAACTTTAGCTTGGCACAGCGGATAGAGCCCCAGGCTTGGAGTCAGAGAGACCTGAGTCCAAATCCAGACCCGGACACTAACTAGTTGTATAACCCTAGACAAATCACTTAACCTTTGTCTCAGTTTCCTCATCCGTAAAAGGAAGATAATAATCATACCTATTTTGTACAGTTGTTGTAAAGACCAAAAGAGATAATAATTGTAAAGTGCTTAGTAGAGTGGCTGGCATTTAGTAAACACTATGTAAATGTCATTACTTCTGAATCATAGAATGTTAGAACTGGAAGGGTCTAACATAGAGGTCATCTCATCTACTCCCCTTCTATAGATTAGGAAATCCTGGGAGATATCACTTAGAATCTTTGTGCCTCAATTTCTCATGTTATAAAAGAAAGAGAGTAATTCTTGGCCTGTTTTGCTCACAGAGAGGGAGTGAAGTCCCTTAAGATGCTCTCTGTAAAAGTATCCTCTGATACTCTTAGAGGAATTACTAAGTACAAAAAGCAAATATCTGATCCCCACTTGCACCAGCATAAATTTCAGGACAGGTTCAAGGGAAGAGATAAAGGCCTGAAAAATATTGCAAGATATTTAATAACAAGACTCAAAAAAAAAAACCCAAGACTCAAGTTGATGAAAAAATGACATGAAATTATTTGGGCATGGCAGACGGAGGTAAAGGAATAGGGATTAAATGAAAAACCTAGAGGAAGGAGGGATGGGCAACAGAAAGGGATTTTGGGTAGGTCTTTATATTTTTCCTCTCTCCTTCCTAGGAATACAATACATTCTATGGGGAAAAAAACACATTCCTGAAAGAAGTAGAGTCTCAGATTCTAAAATCTACTGGAATCCAGTATGAGGCCAGATGGACCCTGAAGATCACATGGGTTAAAGCTCCTCCATACCCAGCCCAAAGAATATCTGGGGTAAGCAGAAAGACTCAGAAAGCTCCCTGCATAGCCACCTGAAAAGAAGCATTCAAGAACCTTTAGGCGAGAGAGGGCTCCCAAAATTCTCCTCAAGTAAGAAACCTTAACATAATGTGCTCTTAAAAGTTTTCCAGAGAAAGAGATTTAACCAAAAGTACTTAGTAATGTACTCTGAGGAGTCACAGCCCTTACAGACAGGAAATTCTTTGCAGGACCTAGCCTAAATTCAGTCATTCATTCCAATATTTATTGCAAACCAGTCTTGTATTAGGCACCAAGCTAAGAGCTGTGAATACCAAGATGTGTATATGAGATACTTTAAGAAATTTCTCATCCCCACTGCTGCAATTTCTTCTATCCTTTTTTAAGCCAAAGATAGTAGATCACCATTTTATGTACAATATATCTGAGGAGGCTGATCAAGCTCTCTTTTAACTCTTATTCTTAATAATAAACTTTGATCTCTTTAATTATACCCTGTAAACCATCTTTTCTAACTTTAAACTGTAATACAGAATGATTTTTCTCACCTCCTGGAAATGATTTATAAAGAAGGCAATTTTCAGTTTATGAAGTGCTTTGAGACAGCCATGGATGAAAATTTCTCTAAAGACCCAAATGAGTTGATGACAAATACATACACACATATGTATGTACGTGTGTATGAGAAATATATATATATATATGTATATGTATATATGTATTTCTCATTATTGTTTGGCCTAAAATACTGGGTATGTTAGGGGGCAGAGGGAAGGGTGGTATTTAACACAATGTCTGTGCAATATAGAGAAAGTTGACTACTCACTGAGTGTCTATATGTTTGTCCCAAACTTCTAGGACAACACCTTCCAGACCATCCTCACGACTGATGGGAGCCGCTCTTTTGCCCTGATCCTTTACCAAAATGGTGGGATGCAGTGGGCTGTGCCCCCACCCTCAGCAGCTGATGTTCTCATAGGCTTCTCCAGGTAGCATGGGGAAGATGGCTGTCACTTCGGTTTGACATACTTGATTCTAAGAAAGGACACAGAACATTGTTTCAAATATATAGATATTCATGACTTCTTTACCCTACCCTCCATCCCCCACATAACACAGACGTCTTTTATTCATATTGACTCAAATTGAATTCAGCGAACATTCATTAGGCATCTACTATGTGCCAGGGACTTTGCTATGCACTAGGGACACAGAGACAAAAATAAGGAGCTTACATTCCACTGTGGGATACAACATATATACAGATAAATAAATGTAAAATACATGCAGAGTAAATGGGCAAGAAGGCAAATGCCCTTTATTTTTTTTTTATCCTTTTTTTTCCTATTGGAAGGGAGAATGAAAGAGGGAGGCCTGACAAGATGTCTCAGTGAGGTAATTTGTATCCAAAACTCTACAGTGCTGAGTTCATCCTTCCCTCCCCAGATTTGCCTTCTAGGGTCCCTTCTCAATACCTTCCTGGGAAAGACACAACCAGGCTCGGTCTCATTTTTTCTGCTGTCTTTCTTCCCTTGGCTCCTGATTGAATGAATTTGTATATTCCCTTCCTAAGTCCTAGGGCTATGGATCAGACTCCTCACAGTGCCTAGTGCAGGGCTCTGTCCACAGAACACACAGTACGCCTTTTTCAGACTAACAGCCCCTAATATTAGCAGGCACTGCAATTTCAGGTTCTTTCCTTTGTTCCCAGTGGAGATGGATTTTTCTTCAATGATCCCCTGACCTCAATGTCCCCAGAGGAGAAATATCGTCCAGATCGGGTCAAAGGTTCTGAAACAGGTAACAGAATGACCTTCATTTTATTCACACACCTTCAAAAAAAAGAGTAGACACAGAGCATATATGTAGCTAGCAATTTTGACCCCCAAACCAAACATCAGGGAATTGCAGAGCTTAAATCAGTTTTGTAGTTCATGATATGAAAATAATATTAGAATTGAGACAAATTCAGTTGAGCAGGAGGAGAAATTGGTTACTACGTGACTCACAGAGAGGTATTGTTAACAAACGTAGTGCTATCTGGTAGTTTATTTTAACCAATAATTTTGCTAACCAGTTACTAAGCTCAGTTGTTTCTGTGCTGTTGAAGGAGTATATTTTGTACCCTCTGAACTTTGGTGTCATAGAACAAAGTTTTGATCATCTCAGCCTAGTTGGTACTTTGTAGTAGGGCGTATATTTTCCAAGTTCACTAGCCTCTTTTTCCACATCCTTTGCCCACCCTGATCCCTTGAATTCCAAATCAATCAGGACTTGAAATGCATAGTGTCATGGCTACCTCTAGAAGGGAACTTTCCCTAGAAGAGCATCCTTCAAGGAGCCCAGAACACTTACAAATGTAAAACACTGTAAGCTGGACTCTATGAGGGTGTGGGAATAGGGGGCAGGGAGGAGATGGGGCAAGGGCGCCGTCCATTTCCCTTGTGTCCTGAATCTGTATTGTCCTGTAGTTGGAGGTGAAGACCTTTAGCATCTGGACTCTAAATTTCTCTAAGATCTTGGCTGAGAGTCCAAGCACCCAGTTGCACCAGCTGGGAAATGACCGGTGGAAGGGTCTCAGCCCTAGGGAATTTAGGGACACATCAGATTCCTAATGCAGAAGATTCACAACAGTGACCCACAGCCTCACTTCTGCCCTGACTTTCTGAGCTCTTTTCTTGGTAGCTTCTATGCTTTTATCCCTGTCTGGATGGATATGCTGGGGTAAGGAAAGCCTCCTGGACATAATCTTCTTCATGCTTATTTCTGACATTCTTGGACGGATTCCCAAAAAAGATGTGTTGAGTCATTTACTATCTTTATGAGCTTGGACAAGTCATTTAAACTACTGGGGCCTGAGTTTCCTCATACCTAAAATAAAAGAATCGGACTAAATGACCTCTGAAATCCCTTCCACCTCTAAATCTATAATCTTTTTGATTCTTTGAGAAGATCCCAGGCTGTGCAGTGAAGGAAAACAAGATGCAAGACTAGTATGGGGAATGGGGCATATTTTTTTAATTATCAATTGTCCCTAAAAACCCCAAAGAAACCAAACAATGGCTGTGACCTGGTCTAAACCTCCCCTCTGTCTGCTTCCCTACCTTACACCCCAGGCTACAGGGGTTTTCAAATATACAAGTTACAAAGAGAGTGGGAAATCCGACCAAACTACCGCTTGAAGTGTCTGCAGTGGCTGAAGCAAAACTCAATGAGTGGATGGAACTGGAACCTGTTTTGTCCTTGCTCCTGGCAGCAGGGACTATGGGACCTGAGATTTCAGCCAATTAGAACAGGTGATACCCTCTCCCCATCTCCTTCTGAACTCTTTATCCTGCAGTTGTCTCCCTCCTCTCCAACCATCATTCTTCCCTTCCTTCTCCTTTCCCCAATCCTTCTTGCAACAGCTTCTTTGCCCTGCCCTGGATCCCCAGTTCCTCCCAAGGAATTCAAACTAAACTATTATCAAAGAAAAAATATTAATACTGTCCTCTGGGTTTTAGGCACAAGTGAGGCAGAAATGATTTGTTTTCACACTATTCTGAATCTGAGCATTTCTAGTGTAGAGAAAGACCCAAACTGACATCATCTCCCCACCCCGCTGCCATGCCCTCAGACAGTTTGAAGTAACATTTATAGGAATCTTGAATAAGAAAAATGGTCACAATATGATAAAATACAGTTTAGGATGAACCTTCTGTTCCATAATAGAACAATAATCATTTAATCTTCTCCAAAGACTGCCCAATTCTTTCTTTGACCACACCCCTCTATAGTGGAGTCTATAGTGATCAATTCTATAGTGGGTTCTATAGTGATCAATACCCTAACCACTCCAGAGTGAGGGAAAAAGGGTTATACTTTTAGTAGGTCATAACTCTTAACCCTTTAGGAAATGGGGAACACAATGATTTTAACTAGAAATATGGGATTTCTTGTTCTAATTTTGGTTACCGCGCTTAACCCCTTTTTCTCAGACCTTAGCTTTTGTTCTTGACCTTTTATACACTCTCCTAAAGGGGAAAGTCTGGAAAAGGACTTTAGATTTGAGGAATATTTTATTTCTTAATATTTTCAGTTGAAGTAAAATGATTTTTTAATTTGCTTCCATACTCTCTCGCTTTCCAAGCCCCCCAAGCCCTCCCCCATTCCCAATTCCCTAGGGAAGTAGGAAGTAGGATACAGGGATGGTTTGGGAATTATGTTTGCCACCCAATTGTCACCCTCACCAAAATCACCCAGAGCTGGGATTTGAGCAGGGCCGGGGCTTGTTGCAGGCTGGACCAACAGAAGGAAGCTCTGCAGCTTTTCTTCCTGGCGAGGAAGCGTCTGCTGTGTGTATGGTAACTGGGGAGAGCTTCGTGGCGGCTGGAGTGTCCGGAACCCTTGGGACTTTGGTGAGTGTGCCTTCTGTGATCTGACCAGACCTTTCCCAACCCCCTTGCAAACCTCTGCTCTTCCCAGGCAGGTTCTATTCCTGTACTTTAAAGGTAGAGTTTTCTAGCCCCTTGTTCTTTCATCCTTACCTGTCATCAGCTCAGAGCTAGGAAAGAAAGAAGGAAGGAAGGAAGGAAGGAAAGAAGGAAAGAAGGGAGGGAGGGAAGGAGGAAGGAAAGAAGGAAGAAAGGAAGGAAGGAAGGAAGGAAGAAAGGAAAGAAGGGAAGGAAGGAAGAAAGGAAGAAAAGAAGGAAGGAAGGAAAGAAAAGGAAGTGTTTTCCCAGTCTAGAGAGTCCACTGCCCTCAGTTTAGACCCCGACCAGTTGTTCAGAGGGGAAAATTAGAGTCAACTCTTGGGTCATTTCCAAGAATTCTCTTAGGTTGGATCCTAGTCCATCACTGGGTCGACTATCTATTGATAATCTCATATTTTAGAATATAAGATCCCTGGGCACTCAATAAATGCTTGTTGATTGATTGGTTAATCTATACATTCAACAATTGAATGGGTCGTTTTCAAAACAGATAGAACATCACAAACCAATTTGTTTTGTCATAACCAAATTTTTTTAAATATTTACAAAAAGTGTTAAAAGGGAAAAAAATAGTAGCAGCTGATGTGTCTATAACATTTAAAGCTCTTTACAAACATCTAATTTGATATTCATAATCACACTGTAAGGTGGATACAATTTTTAAAATTCCATTTTGCACATGAGGAACCTGAGATTAAGTAAAAAAGTCATGTGGCTGGAAAGTGGAGGAAACTGAGGCTTAGAAGAGGAAGCACAGTATATGGAGCAATGTAACCTTGGGGAGGTTTCTTGATCTGCATGGCTCTCCATTTCTTTGTCTTTAAAATTAGTGGATTGGGCTAGCTGGCCTCTGGGCTCCTCTCCAACTCTATATCAAGGATCCTAAGCGAATTGCCCAGAGTCACGTGACTATTAAGTATCTGCAGCAGAATTTGAACCCGGGTCTTCCTAACTCCAAACCTAGTACTATTGCTACTGTACCCTGATTCCTCTAAAATGAGTACCTCTAGATTTATTTTAAAGTTGTAATGGTTGATGTATTTTGAAATTTTTTTATTTTAAAGATTACCACTGGGTACAGTGGAACAAGCTCTGACTCTGGAATTAGAAGTTCTGTGTTCAAATCCTGCCTCTGACACTACCTGTATGACCTTGGGCAAGTCATTTTACTTTCCTGCGCCTCCGTTTCCTCATCTGTAAAATGCTAAAGTCCCTTTATAGCTCTAGGTCCATAATCCTGTAACAGTTTTTAGGTTCCCAAGTATGTGTTTTTTGCCTGACTCCCCTGGTACCAGAACCACTTCTGCACTATCTCGGGGGCAATGCTTCCCAGATAATGAGTCCTCTTCCTAGTGTTGGAGGTGGGAATAAGTCACCCCACCCCCTCCCTAGGCAAAATCCTCCCACAGCTGTAAGGAGAACTCCAAGCCCAGCGACACCAGCCTCTGTCCCTCTCTTCTTCCATCCTCAGTGAATTTGCCCTTGAAGGTTCTCACCTTGAGGTCAATCTTGGAATCTGTGTGTTCTGTACGTGGCCTCGAAAGGGGTAGGTGCCTAGTTAAGGTTCACTGTATCTGCCTGCTTACAAGCTACAAATAGGATGAAAGCAAATGAGCCGTATCCCTGGAAGTCAAGGCTCTACAGATTATAAAGAAAATTTCTAAAGTTGGTAAAATTTGTTTCAGAATTTCTTACCTATAAACCTTATTGGCCTAGCTATTACCCTAAGGCCAGTTCTTTCTGTTGGTCCATCAGCGTTGCTATCTATCTATATATGGAGAAGGAAATGGTGAACCACTCCAGTATCTTTGTCAAGAAAACCCCAAATGGGGTCACAAAAAGTCAGACACAACTGAAAAACGACTGAGCAACAACTGCCAATATAACTTTGTACTGCCAGGCATGTTTTCTCCTGAAACATATATGTCTTTAAGCATGTGCTCAACCTTCTAAGTCAGGGTTCAGCAATCTTGCCTCTTGCTAAGCTATGGAATTTTGCTGTGTCTTTCATAAGGGATGCAAGTACCCCTTATGCACTTATAAAAACATAATTCAATGTACATGTATAGCCTATATCAGATTGTGAGCCGTCCTGGGGAGGGAGGGGAGGAGGGAGAGGGAGAAAAATTTAAAACTCAAAAGCTTATGGAAGTGATTGTTGATAAATCAAAATAAATTAATAAAAAAAAAACCAATTCATGATTCCAGCTGAGCTCAGGTCATTTGTATATGATTCTTCTCATGGGTGGAGTGAGAAACTCCAGGCTGTGTGCCTGCAATGAAGGGCAAAGTTGTCATGAGAGCTTTGGACATAAAAGATTCAATAATCTCTTTCCTTCCTGCTTTCAGAGAGAACACACACTATTCCAGACTTACTTCGGGGATTTCAGGGAGAGAAAAGACTTTGGAATGCAGGCATTTAGGGGAAAGCCAGCTCCTCGGTCAATATGACTACTGCTTGCTAAAGTCTACTCTCTCTCCAAAGTTCTTTGTGAAAAGGGTCTGGAACAAAGCTGTCAAACATTGGTCTACAACTCTCCTTATAACTCCAAAATCAGTTTAAAATGTAATTGGGAAATGTTTAGCAAAATAAATAAAAATATAATAGAACAGGATGATGATAATATATGGTTTTCTAAGTTTCTAGGTTTCCTTATGTTGCCATAAGGATCCTTATATACAGTTTAGTGGCTACATTTCAAATTGAGTTTGACTAGTCTAGAACAACCTACTTCTTCTCCCCACAAAAAGCAGAAAAAGATCTCTCTTGTCTAAAGCTGTCTAGCCAACTAAGGCCCTCACACAGGCACAGCCGAATTAGCGGAGTTCTTTTTCTCTCCACCAATGGAGAATTGCATGCAAATGCTCCAGGTTTGACTCTTTTGTTGTTCAGTCGTTTCAGTCACGTTGGACTCTTCTTGAGGGGTTTTCTTGGCAAAGATACTAAAGTGATTTGCTATTTCTTTCTCCAGTTCATTTTATAGATGAGGAAACTGAGGCAAGCAGGGTTGAGTGACTTATCCAAGGTCACACAACTAAAAGTGTCTGAGGCTGAATTTGAACTCAAGGAGATGAATCTTCCTGACTCCAGGCTGGGCATTCTATCCACTGTGTCACCTAGCTGCCCCGTCAGGCTTGGCTAGATTATACAAATTATACTGCTCTGATCTACCAAGGGCTTGTAAATTCACTGATGTCTGCTCTTCCTTCCACTAACACAGATAGCAATCCTTCTACAGTTAAGTAGATGATCTCCAACAGTTATTTGGCTGAAAAACCACATCACCTTGAGACCAATTTGCTAATGAGCGTCGCTGAATGTAGCTAAATGGATTCCTGGACAAGAGTCCATGAGCAGGCCCAACTCCAAACATTTTCAGCATGCTGGGACTTGAAAGAGCTTGTATTCCCCTGGCATATCCTCTGAAGACACTCTGTCATTTCCATGCCTCAAAGATGAGACAGAGGAGGACTTTGGGGGACATAGTAACTACAGGCTATAGTTGTATAGTACTCTCTATTATTTGAAAAGGCAGCTAGGTGGCACAGTGGACAGCGTGTTGGGCTTGGAGTCAGGAAGACTCATCTCCCTCAGTTCAAATCCGGCATCAGATACTTCCTAGATGAATGACCCTGGGCAGATCACTTAACCTTTTTTGCCTCAGTTACAAGTACATAAAAAATATGTACAAGATAAAGAAAAATATATATATATTTTATCTTGTGTATATGTACATATATATATATATATCGAGAGAGAGAGAGAGAGTAATTAGATACAAGGTAGTTTGGGAGGGAAGACACTAGTAGTTGAGAGTGTCATTCAGAAGATGGTACTTGAGCTGCATCTTAAAGGAAGCCTTGAAGTGAAGGTAAAAAGGGAGTGCATTCCACAATGGGGAATGACCAATGCAAAGGGAAGGAGATGGAAGACTCATGGAGGGTAATTTTAAGAAGGAGGCCAGTTTGTCTGAATTGCAGAATGTAGAGGGGAGTGATGTTCAATGAGCCCATAAAGATAGATTGGAGCTAAATGGTATAGGGCTTGAAAGCTAAAGAAGGAAGTATATATTTTATCCTCAAGGCAACAGGAAATCCCTAGAGTTGATTGAGTAGGGGAGCTTAACATAATGAAAAGAACACCCAGATTCAAATTAATTGGATTCGAACCTGGCTTGGTCATTTATTTTTTATGTGACTTTAAGCAGTCATTCTTGGGCCCACTTTCTTCACTACATGAGCTAGTCTTGGACTAGACTTAAGGTCTCTTCCAGCTCCAAATCCTATGACCCCTCAAATCATATCAAGTATTCCTATTTTACCCATGCTTAGGGCCTATAGGCAGGAAGTGGTGCCCAGAGAAGGTGCCATGAACTTACCTAAGCTCACACTGGACTTCTCTCCTGGATTCTCCAATTTCATTTCCCCTCTCAGCAAGATGTTGTTCTCAACAGACCAAGAAGAGGAGGCTCAAGACTGGTGCTGCCGGTGGAACGACAAGCCATTCTTGTGTTACCTGTACCAGCAGAAGAGGCCTCCTGTCAGCTGTATAGGGTATAGGCCACCTCGACCTGGTAAGGCTGCTGGGCTCTGGCCAAAGGGGTTGGGACTGAGGGATATCCTTGAGGCAGTGAAACCACTTGAAGTCAGTGCAGGGGAGGGGACTGCAGACAGACTTTATGCCCCTGGCCACTGCCTAGGCCTTGGCATTGTCACACCAATGTGGTCTCCCCAACTTTTCCAGCCTGGATGTTTGGAGATCCCCATATCACTACCTTGGACGGTGCCAACTATACCTTCAATGGATTGGGAGACTTTAAGCTGGTTCAAGCCCAAGATGGAAACTCCTCCTTCCTGCTGCATGGACGAACAGGCAAGATGGAGTCAGCCCAAGCAACCAAATTCGTTGCCTTTGCTGCTCGCTACCAGTCCAAACTCGTAAACAACACAGTGAGTGAGACCGAACTTTCCATCTCCCCACATTCAACTCTCTTAGGTTCCTCTAGCCCACAAGGACCCCTTTTGAAAGACAATAGCTCAGTAGAGAGGAAAAGGCAATGTAGGAGGAAGGGAAGAAGAGAAAAGGGAAAAGGAGGGAAAGGGGGAGAATACCCAGCATTAGGACAGCTGGACTCCATTTGTGGATTGGGCTCCATGTATGACCCTAGGAAATAAAATAATACGAGATATATAGCATATATAACATTTATATAGCACTTTAAGATGTGCAAAACACTATGTGTCTATGTATATATATATGTATATATGTGTGTGTATATATATATATATATATATATATTTGATCCCCACAGCAACACTATGAAGGAGTTGCTATTTTTATCCACTTTTACGGATGAGAAAACTGAGGCTGAAAAAGGTCAAATAATTTGTCCAGGGTCACACAGCTAGTAAGTAAGTATCTGAAGCAAGATAAGAACTAGGGTCTTCCTGACTGCAATGCCAGTGCTCTTACCTATTCCACCATCTAGCTGCCCCAGTCCTTTCTGAATTTCAAATCTCATCTTCATATGGGCTGTATGGCTGTAATTGGTCAAGACTTTTAACACTTTCAATTTCCTTTCAGGTTTACTGGTTTCTTGAACCTAATGATACCATCCAGGTTCAACTCAATAAACAGAATGTGACTTTTACCACCCATATCAACTTTTCAGAAGGTAAGGCAAGGATCACCTCTCCTCCTTCTCTGGGGCTGGACAAGCAGGTTGACTAATGACAGGAAAGAAGGAAGGAAGGAACGAAGGAAGGAAGGAAGGAAAAGAGAGAGGGAATAAAAAAGGAAAGAGAGGAGGGAGAGGAAAAAGGGAAGGAAAGAAGGAAAGAAGGAAGGAGAAAGGGAGGAAAGAAGGAACTTACCTCCAAAGCTCAACTATTCTGCCTGTCTCAATGTGCTAAAAAGGAGTGTTATAAATCACTCTCCATTTATCATGTCCTTTGAGAATACACACAAACTCCCCTAGGAGGAAGAAGATGGTGCAGGCACTTGATGTGAACTCTATGTTAGTTAGGGCTAGGGTTGCTATAATAAATTCTCCTTTGTCACAGACCCTTGGTATGTCCTCCAGGTCTGTCTTCAAGTTTTCCCTATGTTTCTTCATGAGTCTCATTGTTTCTGGACCCAGCTGACTTCTTTGCTTGTCTCCCAATATCCTAGATATGAAGATATACAATTCCTCTGGAGTTTTGTTGATTCAAAATGGCTCTCTGATATCTGCCAACTTCGATGGGACCGTGGTAGTCTCTGTGCAGGCACTGACCAACATTCTGCAGGCTGTTATCAGCCTGCCAGAAGAGTATCAAAACCACACTGAGGGCCTTCTGGGTAAGGGGAAGAGGATACCGTCCCTTACGTTGGGTAAAGAACTGAAATCATAGAGCTGGAGGAAAGCAGGAGTTGCTATGCTCAATAGAATTCTCGTCATAGTAGCTTTCTAAACCTGATGACTTGGAAGGGATATCTGACTTTGAGAGTGTTCAGTTGCTCTGTGGGTTTCAAGACAAGGTTCAGGAAGAAAGCCATTGACCCTGGTGCCAGTGGAGTGAATCCCCGCTCTCCACCCATTGTGGAGCTGTTTTCTTGGGGAGCTTTATGACTCCTGCTTACTATTGATCTGCTAAGCCATGGTCCTTATTTGAGATGTTTAATTTCTCTCTTTCGTACACTTTCTCAGTCGCTCCAGCCCCCCAAACAGTGCCTCGACCGAAATCTGGAGATAAGGATTCTTGCTCTAGTTTTGACTCTCTCACATAGAATTGAGAAAGGAAGCTGTGCCTCAGCTTATACCCTACAAAAACTGGATATGTGCTCTTTCTTTCTGTCTCTGTCTCTCTCTCCTTTGCTTCTGTCTCTCTGTCTCTCTCCCTCTCTGTCTCTCTCTCTGTCTCTCCTTCTGTCTGTTTCTTACCCTCTGTCTCTCTCTCCCTCTTTCTTCCCCTCCCTTTCTCTCCCTCTTTCCTCTCTTCGTCTTTCCCCTCTCCTCTCTCTCTCTCCCTCCCTTTCTTTCCTTCTCTTCTCTCTTTTCTTCTTTCCTCTCTCTTCTCTCTATCTCTCTGTCCCTCTCTCTTCCCCTTCCTTTCTCTTCTTCTCTCCCATTTCTTCTTCTATTTCTGTCTCTTTTTCATTCCCTCTCTCTTTTCTCTCTTTCCCTCCTCTTTCTCTATCTCTCTCCCCGGTATCTCTCTCCCTCCCCTTTTCTCTCTCCCCCTCTATCTTTGTCTCTTTCTTATCTCTCTCCTTTTCTCCCATAATCTCTCACTATCTTTCTCTCTCTATTTTTTCTCACTCTCTATCTGTCTTTGTTTCTGTCCCTGTGTCTCTGCTTATCTCTCTGTCTCTGTCTGTCTCAGTACCTATCTCTCTGTCTCTGTGGCTCAGTCTCTGTCTCTTGTCTCTCTGTCTATCTACCTGTGTCTCTCTGACTTCCTAAGGGAGGTTGCATAGTACTGGGTAAGTATCTAAGTTTGAATCCTGGCCCTGCCACTTAGAACCTTTCTGGGCCTCAGCTTCCTCATCTGTAAAATGAGGAGGATCTCTAAGACTCCTTCCAGCACTAAATCTATGATCCCATGGTTCTAAGGTTCAAGTCTTCCAGTTCCAAATCTATCTTCCTGTGATCCTTTCTCCTTCAAACAGTAACAAGTGAAAGGTGTTGAAAACACTAGACAGGCAAGATTCTCCTGAATTCTAAGGATTAGGAAGGCCTTAAAAAAAGTACAGGGATAGAACTCTGGGTAGCTGAACTTTCATACTAATTTTGCTATTAACTTTGTAATTTGGGACAAGTCACTTAACTTCTCTCCTGCTCATTTTCCCCATCAATAAAAGGAGAGATTGTATTGGACAAACTCTAAGGTCCTGTCCAATGCTAACTTTCTGTAATTTTTTTTGTTTTAATAATTTCCAAAGAAATTCCATTTCACAAGTTCCCTTAGTCCATTCATCCTTTATGAAATTTTTTCTTCCATAATGAATATGACCTGATTAATTCTTTATTTTTTAAACTTTTTTTAAAAAATTTTGAGTTTGAAATTCTCTCCTCCTCTCCAACCCTTACCCCATCCATTGAGAAGGCACTGTTAAATTCTTCTTGAGAAATATACGTAATTCCATATACATAATAACTATCTTCTTTCTTCCCTAGGGGTCTGGAATAACAATATCTTTGATGACTTCAAGATGCCCAATGGTTCCTCCATTCCCTATAACAGCTCTGAAAAGGAGTTTTTTCACTATGGAATGACCTGTGAGTCCTGGGGTTCTCAATTCTCGAAGAAGTCCTAGACCGTGGTGCTGGAGCCAGGATAAGGGAGATGGATAGACACAGGACTCCCAATCCTATATTGGAGATAGACCTCCTGTCTCTGTATTGGGTGGGGAGGGATGGTCCCCAAAGTTCATCTAAAGAAAACTCTGAAGATCTTAGTGCTATTTCTATATCACATTTGCTCTCAGGAAGGCCTGGTATTAAAATATCTTTTTTCCTCTACTTCCAGACTCCACTTCTAAGCATGAGAGAGTGGGAGGCAGAAGTGAAAAGGCCTGTGCCTAATGGAAAAGTGATCCCTAACAAAGAGATACCTTTCACAGCTATGGATAAGGAAAGAATTGTTGACCAAATGAAAGATAGGGAGTATCAGAGGAGATAAAATGAGCAATTTTGATTACATGTAATTGAAAACCATTTTACAAAATCAGTATAGTTAAAATTAATAGAAAAACCATTAATTGGGAAAAATCTTTATAGAAAACTTTTTTTAAAAAACATGATATCCTAGATATAGGGGAGGATTAACTCAAATATATAAGAACAAGAGCCATTCCCCAATAGATAAATCGTCAAAGGTTATGAACATTTAGTTCTCCCCCCCTCCAAAAAAAAGAGGGCAAGCAAACAATAACTATGAGAAAAAAATGCTTCAGATCACTAATGATAAGGGAGATGCAAATTAAAACAACTCTAAGTTTCTACCTCACACTCATTGGATTGGTAAAAATGACAGATGTTGGAGGGGCTACAGGAGGACAGGCATACCAGTGAACTATTGGTATCACTGTAAATTAGTCTATTTTCGAAAGCAATTTGGAGCTATATTCAAAAAGTCACTAAATGGTGCATACTTTTTGACCCAACAATACCACTACTAGATGTATACCCTCAGAAATCAAAGAATAAGGGAAAGAACCCATATGTGCAAAATATTTATAGCAGTCCTTTTTGTTATAGCAAAGACCTGGAAACCAAGAGGGGTGCCTGTCAATTGAGGAGCAGCTGAACAAATTTTGGGACAGAAAGAATGACCTCTGACCTTATAGTTCCAGAAGCTACACTTTCCCCCAACAGTGTAAATAGTGATAGGAGACTATGGGCGTAGTAGAAAGAAGATGAGGGCAATGTGTCCTATACATCATCACTGCTCACCGCCCTGGGTTGTCTTGTGTATTTCAGGGGATGTCAGCGGAAAGAGCCTTTTTGATAACAAACATGATAATCTGAGCAGCAACTTCACTCCCATCTTTCTGTACGAATTGACAAACAAGCCCCTCTATAAAAATTGGACTTTTCTGTGTAACAATAGTGAACAATGTCTTTATGATGCCCTGGTCACAGGGAATCTCAGTATTGGGAAGACCACCAGCACCATCGCTAGAAACTTCCGGAGCATGAATGGCACCCTCAGTAAGTGACACACGGTTATTACGGCCTGGAGGTTTTCCTTCCTGTCTTGGGACTCCAACTCCAAATGAGAGGTGGGATGGTGTAGTGGATGCAGGACTAAATTTATAGCCAAGAGGCCGAGTTCAGATTCTGACATCAGCTGGATCACCCTGGGCAAGTCATGTGGGTCATAGCAAGGCTCAAAAGATAATCTGTGTAAACTCTTTGCAAGCATTAAATTGCTACGTAAATGTTAGGATCAGTTGTTAAGTGTCAGGGTTCTGTGACCTCTGAATCAGGCACATAAGTGGAAGAGGAAAAGAAGATGAGGGACCCTGTGACACAGCATCATTGTATAACCTTTTGGTGTCCCTCTGTCCTTAAGACTTCGGGCAACCTGTAGTACATCCTAACGCAGGAAACTTTCCCCGAGGTTTAGAAACAGGTAGAGGTACAGTAGATAGAACACTAAACCTACAGTCAGGAATTCCTGAGTTCAAATCCAGTTTCAGACACTTAGTAGCTGTGTGACCTTGGGCAAGTCATTTAACCCCTATTTGCCTCAGTTTCCTCACTTGTAAAATGGGAATAATAATAGCACCTATCCCACAGGGTTGTTGTGAGGATCAAATGAGATGATGTTTTTAGAGTACTTAGCACATAGTAGGCATTATATAAATACTAGTTATTATTAGGTTACATATAATGTAGTTTTTGTTGTTCAGTCATGTCTGACTCTTCGTGACCCCATTTGGAGTTTTCTTGGCAAAGATACTGGAGTGGTTTGCCATTTCCTTCTCCAGCTCATTTGCCAGTTGAGGAATCTGAGGCAAACAGGGGTAAGTGACTTGCCCAGGGTCATACAACTACTAAGTATCTGAGGTCACATTTGAACTCAGAGAGAAAAGTCTTCCTGACTCCAGACTGAGTGCCATCTAGCTGCCATACATATAATGCAGAGGGGAGCACAAATACAGACACCCCCATAATCAGAATCTCTGGAATCATACTGTTGTGCCATGACACCTGGTTCTTTCACTCTCACCTGCCAACATACTCAGGTCTATAGTCATAGTACTAGTTTAGACAGCCTCAGATAAGAGTCTAGGATAGCTTCATTTGCAGCCTATAGAGGAAGCCCTTGGAGTAAGAGAGGCTTATATTCTTATTAGTGCTACTGATAGCAGCTGCTGCTTCCTACTGTCACAGCTCACCCATGGCCTCCCTCCCTGATTATCGTTAGCCCAACATTATTGGGAGAAGAAGAAGGAAGCACTTAGATAGCACCTACTATGGTGCCAGGCACAGTGATAAGCACTTTTTGCAAATATTACCTCATTTGATCCTCACAACAACCCTGGGAGGCAGTGTTATTATTATCCCTGTTTTACAGTTGAGGAAATTGAGGTTGGGTATTCGACCTAGGTTCACATAGCTGGTGAACTCAGATCTTCCTGACTCCAGGCCCAGTGTTCTTTTCACTGTGATATCAACTAGCTGATCTAGGCTGAAATCCCAACTAATAAGTCTCCCAAGTTAAGCATAACCATGTGATAGAGCCACCCAATTGACCTTTGTCCTGTGTGGGTTCCAAAATGCCCAATCTACAATAAAAGAAACTGAGGCAGAGCTCCAAGTCAATTTATTAAATTGTTAATTTAATTATTTATTAATTAATTATTAATTTATTAATTAATAATTAATAAATTAAATTATTAAAGGGACCTGTTCCCCCTTTAATGAATAAGACCTCAGATCTTCCTCACAATCTGAGGTGCCCCCTCACTCCAGGGCCTTTGTTTTATAATGCTTGATACCCAGATGGTACAGATGAGTCCAGATTTAACTCTACCTGTGCAAATGACACAAACGTGGTACAGTCAGGCCCTCAGAGCAAACCTCTCCAGGCCCATCACTACACACAGTATAAGCAGGACTCTCTCAGTCCTTTCTCCAAAAAGAATGAGCAAGAAAGAGTTAATTCTTGCTTCTTGTAAGAAAGAGCAGCTAGGTGGTGCAGTGGACAGAGCTCCAAGTCTGGAGACAGCAAGACTCATCTCCCTGAGTTCAAATCTGGCCTCAGACACTTATTAGCTGCGTGACCCTGGTCAAGTCATTTATCCCTTTTTGCCTCAGTTTCCTTATCTGTAAAATGAGCTAGAGAAGGCCCACTAGGCAAACCACTGCAGTATCTCTGCCAAGAAGATCCCAAATGGGCTCACAAAGAGTTGGACAAAACTGAAATGACTGAACAACATCAAAAGGTGGTCCAGTGGATAGAGTGTTAGGGCTGGAGTCAGTAAGACTCATCTTCCTGAGTTCAAACCCAGCCTCAGATACTTACAAGCTGTGTGACCCTGGGCAGGTCACTTAACCCTGTTTGCCTCAGTTTCCTTATCTGTCAAATGAGCTTGAGAAGGAAATGACAAAATGCTCCAATATCTTTGCCAAGAAAACCCCAAAAGGGGTTTTGAAAAGTTAGACATCTAATGTGAAAATATGTTTAATAGGAATGTATATGTACAGCCTATATCAGATTTCGTGCCGTCTTGGGGAAGGAAATGAGGAAGGAGGGGGAGAAAAATTTAAAACTCAAAAGCCTATGGAAGTGATTGTTGATAATTCAAAATAAATTAATTAAAAAAAACTCAGACATGACTGAAAATGACTAAACAGATTTTATTTGACTCTAGTGAATTATGTCACTCATAGTGTTATCCCTCATGGAGAGCGCATGGGAAAAATACAATTCAATTCAATGTAATAGACATTTATTTTACAAGCCAGGAGCTGTGTGAGGGCTGGGGATTCAAAGACAAAAACCAAAAGTCCCTGTCCTCAAGAAGCTTACATTCTACTGCATGGATGCAGTGTGTACTTATACATAAGTACACAGCACATGCAAACTAATTTCCACAAGAAGACAACGCTAACATCTGGAAGAGTAAGGAAAGGTCTCAGGTAGGAAGAGGCCCCTGAACTGTGCTTGGGAGACAGCAAGGGATTCAGAGGGACAGAGGTGAGCAGGGACTTCTTTCCAGACTTGGGGAAGGATATAGATATAGATATAGATATAGATATAGACATAGACATAGATATACCCATATACATATATACATATACACACAATACACATACATCATATATGCACACATACACATGTATACACATGTATACATATACGAGTACATATACACGCATGCATACACATATGCATATATACACATACACATATACATGCATGCACACACCTATACACATGTATACATACACAAGTATATATGCACACATATGTACATATGCACATATATACATACACACACATACACATATACACACATACATACACACATCTATACATGTGTATACATACACAAGCATATATACACATATGTACATGTGCACACACATATACATACACATACATATATACACACATATACACACATATGCTGATATACACATACATGCATATACACATATACACACACATATATACATATATGTGTGTATTTATGTGTATATACATATATATGTATACACATACACACAAAGGTTCAGAGATTATATAGCTGGAATGGCTGTAAGGAACAGGTAGGAGGATAGTTTGCCTGGAGCAGAAAGTGTATAATGGAAAATAATGGAATAAAATTTTAAAAGTATACGAGAGCCAGATTATGAAGAAAGTCCCAGACAGCATCAGTGATCTGCCTCTTGTCCTGCACCTGGACCATATTTATTGCCCTCCCCACCTTATTGTCCTCTGTACCTCAGAGAAAAACTAGAGAAACAAACACTACCAGGTCACAAAGACAGATTTGCAGAGGTTTGGGGTCAGTGCAGCTATGGTACAGCAGAAAAACCAGTATATTTATATTCAAAAGACCCAAGTTTGAATCTTGGCTCTGCCACTAACTTTGGGCAAATTGTTCCCCCTCTCAGTTTCCTTATCTGTAAAATTATGGGGTTAGGCTAGTCAATAATGTCTTTCCAGGTCTGGGTCAAGGGATGACTCTTTGCTATGTCTCTGTTGTAGAGAGAAGGATAACAAGCATTTATTAAGTACCTACTATGTGCCAGGCACAATTCTGGGAAGGAGGCTATTATTACCCTCACTTTGTTGTTCAGTCATTTCTCACTTGTGGCCTGTTCTTCATGAAACCATTTGGGGATTTCTTGGCAAAGATACTGGAGTGGTTTGCCATTTCCTTCTTCAGCTCATTTTACCAATGAGGAAACCAAGATAAACAAGGTTAAGTGACTTGCCCAGGGTCACAGAGCTAGTAAGTGTCTGAGGCCGGATTTGAACTCAGGAAGAAGAGTCTTCCTTACCTCAGGCCCAGCCCTCTATACTGCACCACCTAGCTGTCTCATCCTCATTTTACCAATGAAGAAATCACTTATCAAAGTGCCTCCTCCATAGTAAGCGCTATATACATGTTGGTTATTAATATTATTATTTGACTTGCCCAGGGTCACACAGCTAGTAAATATTCAAAGCCAAATTTAAACTCAGGTCTCCCTGACTCCAAGCTCAGGACCCTATATCCACTGCATGACTTGCCCAGGGTCACACAACTAGTAAGTATCTGAAGCTGAATTTGAATCCAGGTCTTCCTGACTCCAAGTCCAGAGCTCTTCCCATGGTACCACCTAGACTTCTCACCTGCCTGTGTGCTATTCTTCTTGATCATCCATGTTAATGTTGTCACACATAGGATTTAAGCTCTTAGGAGAACAGAGACAACATCTGCTAATTCACTTTGGACAGTGACCAGTATTGTCATTTCTATAGGTGAAAACTTGCAATAGACCTTATTTAAAGAGAAAGAACAGGAAAGGAAGGCAAAGGGGATGAAGTTTTGGCCAGGTGGAGTAGCCATAATTCAACTTCTTTTTTTGGAGGGGGGGTGAGGCAAGTGGGGTTAAGTGACTTGCCCAGAGTCACACAGCTAGTAAGTGTCAAGTGTTTGGTCTGAGGACGGATTTGAACTCAGGTCCTTCTGACTCCAAGGCCTGAGCTCTATCCACTGCGCCACCTAGCTGCCCCTGTAATTCATCTTCTAAGGGCATGTCGTATACTTTCGCTTCCTGAGGTGGGTCATGACACCAAGGATTGTCTGAGACAAGCCCAGTACATCTAAAAGAAGGAGGAGAGATAGAGAATGATAACAGAGCAATATTTTGGGAGTTCAATTCTCTTTCTTTGTGTTTCAGACCAGTTCCCGCCCCTCATTGATGGTGAGACCTTGATCCATGCCTACATGGGGAAGACCCAGAGATTGATATATCGAAGCAATGACCCAGGAGCCATCTTTCACCTCAGCCAAAACTCTTCTGACATCATCTTCATGGGTAATGAAAGCTGACTGGGCTCGCTCTTCTTGGAAAGGAAGGTCAGAGCCAGACCATTGAATGGATCTGCCTCCCTACAGCCTGTGTAAAGCTTGTGATCATTTTACGGTCTTGAGTTGCAATGCTAGATCTCCTGGAGTTGCTTCTTCATAGGCATCCTGCCTGCAATTCAGGTAGCTCTCAACCAGGCAGATGATGATACGTGGTTAATTATGACTATATGGTCAATTTGCTCAGATATCCCCAAGGACATATAGAAATGAGTCAGAGCGCTTAACAATCAAATCAGTTATGGTTTTCCTAAAAAAAAATAGCTACTTTAAAATCCCAAAGTAAATCCTTTTACAACATGACTATTATGGTAATGTTTTACATGACTGCACATGTATAACCTATATCAAATTGCTTGCCTTCTCAATGAGAGGGAGTGGGGAGGGAGGAAGGGAGAGAATTTGGAACTTAAAGTTTTAAAAATGAATGTTAAAAGCTGTTTTTAATGTAACTGGGAAAACAAAATACTACATAAAAGCTTAAAAAAGCTTAAAAAGTACAGTAAATCAATTAATAATTAGTTGATAATATTTGTCTACATAAAGAAGACAACTTAGAGAAAGATTTAAAGAAATGAAAATGCCAAAGTATAATTTAATGCCTTCCTCACCGACTTTAACTGTTAACAACAAACCATTTAACCTTATTTCTGGTTTTCCTCATTTTATTTCAGGGAGAAATTTTTTTTTTCTTTTCTTAGTTATGGTGTTTCTGTTGTCTACCCCACCCCCACCCCTCAGCAGTTCATAGTTAACTTCCAATAGTAATATGTAATATAGTAAAAGTATTTGACTTGTAGTTTACTTCAAGAGCTCATTGGCCTAAGGACAAAAAAACCAACAAAACACAATATGTGAATATTTTCTGTTAATTTCAGGAAAGGCCATGGACTTGGACCAGCTCTCTGTCTCTTTTTTCTTCTCTCTGCACAAGAAAGAATTCTTTCCCCAATCCTTTTAACCGCAGAGTGGCATTCTTTCATTTTTTACTTTTATTTTTTTAGTGTGGCATTCTTTTAGGCATGGGAAAGATTACAACTAGACTCATGTACATTCTATCAATATCAGTGATGACTATTTTTTGAACTTTTTTTGTTCCTGACTTCTCTTTCCATTCCTTAGCCTTTAAATTATAAGCTACTGTACAAAGCTATAAACCATGGTACAAAAGTTATTTTGTATCAAATGCTAAGTAATCAGTTAACTTAGCAGGATCCCAGCTCTTTCCAAGCCTTCTTTATAAAAAGGGTATGCCTTTTAGGGACAGCTAGGTGGTTTAGTGGATAGAGCCCTAGACTCTAGAAAGACCTGAGTTTAAATGTGACCTCACATATGTAATAGCTGTGTGACCCTGGGCAAGTCACTTTACCTTATTTGTCTTCTCTGTCCTCTCCTCTCCACCCCAAGAAAAAGGCTATGACTTTTTTTTCCTGCCAAGATTTTGTAAAATCCTTATGAATAGAATAGTTCTGTGTGTGTGTGTGTGTGTGTGTGTGAAATATATGGATATTGTTTCTAGAGGCATGGTTATATATGCATATGCACACACATATACCATATATACATACATACATACATACACACAAATATATAGTGGAGAGAGTGAGAGTGAATATGAAGTCATGGAATAAGAAACCCAATCTGAAAGGGCCTGGAAGAAGGACCCAAGATAAGAAGTGAGGTCAGTGGGGACAAAAGCTGGGGTATCTTAAAGGGGAAAATAACCTTTTGTCACCAATAGACATAATAGAGCAAAATGAGCCCACAAAAAAGCCATGTCCAAAAACACATGTTGCTGCACCTTGTGTCCATCCCCTCTCCTCTCTGTGAGGAGAACACAAGCTGTTGAAGATATTACTCTAATCAGCATGACCCTGGGGAAATATTCTGAGTTGCCCTATGAATGGTGCCTCTTAGGTCTCTCTTCCAGGAAGAAGCCACCAAATCTGCAATGTTGTGACATCATATTTGAGCATGGAAAGTGTCCGTTGGGCAATATCACCCAGTCTGGGAAGGGGAGGAAGGGAATGGAGTTTGTCAGCTTGGAGATGAAGCTAGAGAAGCCAGCTTTGTTTGAGGGTCTTACCACACCCCCTAGGAGCATGGCAAGGCATGGCCAGACATGGGGGAGTCCGAGGCAAAGAAGATGGAAAATAACAGAATCCAAAGTCAAGTGGCCAGATCCCATAAAAGCTACTCTGGGGATGTGTCAGCAAATGGAACAGATGTTCTTGGTTCCCTGGCCTGCTCCAGCTCACCGTGGTCTCTTTTTGCTTTGGGGCAGGAAATGGAACATTGCTGTGGACTCCACAATCCTTTGACCCTTTTAACCTTGAGCTCCTGGTGAGGAATGCAGAAGGCTTGTCTTCTGTTCTACAGCCCGAGACTGTGCTCTGCAACTGCTCAAATGAGAACCAGTGTAACTACAGTGACAGCAGCAGGTTGCACAACTCGTCCCTTCAGGTGATTTCCATCCCATGGGACATCAGGAGGGTGTTAGGAGGGTGCTGGCTGTGGAACGTGGGGAGAGAAGGATGCTGTGGAAACATGCAGTGAGATTGATGATGTCCCAATATTTGGTAATTCACTGACAAAAACCCTGTTCTAGGTGGCGGCTTGTAAATGTAACCAGGAAACTTTTGGCCTTTTCTGTGAACGCCGGCTTGACCACTGTGTTGAGCGCTGTTACCCTGGTGTCCCCTGTGATCCAATAAAGGGGTGTGACGCCTGCCCTAAGAACATGACAGGAGATGGGAGACATTGTGCAAGTGAGTATTAGATTCAAAGGTTAAGGGAAAGGGGGTCAGAAAGTGGGAGTGAGATTGACTGTCTCTGGAATTAGAATCAAAGGGCCTGGGTTCAAATCCTACCTCTGCCACTTATGACCTGTGTGACCTTGGGTAAATAAGTTAACCTCCCTGGGCCTCAGTTTCCATATCTGTAAAATAGGAGGATTGTACTAGCTGGCGTCTGAGGCCCTCCCTAGCTCTGTATCTGTGTTACTGCTCTACAACTATGATGCTTAATGGGAATAGAAGTGGAAGTAAGTGGAGGGAAGGAAGTTTTGGGGGGGTTTGGGAAGAGGAACCTAGGAGGTAGCCCTCAAGCAGGAGTGGGAGAAGTTGGGAGATATATGCCAGCCTGGCCACACTTGAGGACCTAGAAGATTCAGTCAAAGGGCGGTACTTGAGGACCTAGAGGGCCCCATGCGGCCTCAAGGCCACAGTTGCCCACCCCTGGACTAGATAGAGAGGGACCCCATCTGGAAGCCATGAAGTGGACAGGGGAGGCTTCAGAGAGACCAGAGCTCTATGTTTTGTCCCCAGCCCTTGAGCCATGGTGAGCCTGAAGGGTGAAATTCAGGGAGTCTGAGACAATGATCTCCAAACCCAGTCTAGTTTTCCCTAAATTCCACAGACCTACTGAGGGCCCCAAACAAAGTCAGGAAAATAACCGTGTGTGAGGGGTCAGGAGAGAGTAGAGAGGAGAAGGAATGTGTGGATAGAAAACTCACCACCTTCTCTTCTTCCCTCCCCAATCTCCAGGGTCCTTTTCAGGTGTCAGGGATATGACAGCCTACCCCCTGCCACTGTATAAACGGGAGAAGGACTGGGAAAAAGCAAAGAGAAAAACACGGATCAAACGTGGAGCACACTGTTGGGAAATGGGGAACTTCCCTGAGGAATGGATAGCAGTAGGATGAAAAATATGCCTAATAGAGGCAGGAATATGGGCAAGATCAGTCCTCTCTACCCACATCATCATATTCCCGTCTTTACCAGACACGCTTGCCAGCAGTGAAGCCAAAGCACTTTTCAATCTTTAAAATGCTACCTAAACATCAGTTATCTGATCTCCACCATCACTTCTTTTCCTGGTGTTCAGGGATCTGACGATTCTCCTTTTCCTTTTGCAGGCTGTGAGACTTTAGAGTGCCCCCGGGGACATTGCTACAATGATGGAAAGTGCTTTGTCTCCTCCACCTGCCAAGTCACCTGTCTCTGCCCCCCAGCTTTTGTTGATGACCGATGCTACATAGCTGGGAACTCCTTTACACCAACCATGCTTACAGGTATGACCAGGTCCTTGTAGCACCTATAATACTACCCTCCCCACAATGGCCATCAGATGTTGGAAGGAATTATGATGGTTCTAGTGTCGTGGTTCTTAAACTCCAGATTTTGAGAAAGCTTTGGAGGAAGGTCATGGAAATTGAGATTTCAGGCTCCAAATATCATTTTATTAGAAGTAAAGTAATGGACAGGGTCCAGAGCTATAACTAGGACAGGGCAATAAGGGCTTTCCCCAGGGCACTGAAATTCAGCAGGTACAAAACGTTTGAAATAATGATTTTTAACAGATTAGACAGTTTTAACAGGGGTTACATTTACACGTTAACAGCCCTAAATTCTTTCAACATTAGTGGAACTGAATGTAACATCTAGTTATCATGAATAATTAAATAGGGAATTACCATATGTACATATTGTTAATAACACTGATGATCTACAAGTCAGTATAATAACTACTTCCCCATCCCACTCAACTGAATTTGTCTTAATTACTTCTTATATTATTTTCACAAAATGAATTGCAAAATTGACTTGAGGGTCCATTTGGTGTTGCTTGCCCTGGATGCCAAAATGTCTAATTATAACTGTCATAAAAAAAAAAGCCGGAATAGTTGGTCTTCTCTGCTTTCTAGGCCTTTCCCCTGTTCTCATTTCCTCTAGCTCTTTAAGAATGGCAATGTGGTATAATGATAAGAGCGCTACATTTTAGAGTCAGGGATTCTACTTCCAGCTATGCCACTAAAGGACAAGTATGATGTTGGCCAAGTAGGCCTTACTTGACACATCTATCAAATTTGAGAGGGTGGAGGGGCAGCTAGGTGGTACAGTGGGTAGAGCACCAGCCCTAAATTCAGGAGGACCTGAGTTTAAATCCGGCCTCAGAACAAACACTTGACACTAGCTGTGTGACCCTGGGCCAATTGCCTAAAAAATCTGTATATAAGAGGGTGGGGAGTCAGGGGTGGTGATGAATTAGATGACCTCTAAGATGCTTTAATGTTCTACGATTCAAAAATTGACTGTGATTCTAATAAAGAGAGCCCAGCACTGTAGAGATCTGAATAACTGTTTGGGTTAGTGGGTTTTATGAGTTTCATTTGTTTTGTTTTATTGCTAGAGAATGATACAAGGTATGAGAGATTATAGGATCTCTCTCAGATTGGAGGTGAGAGGCCTTTGCATAGTGCAATGAGTTCTTGGATGGGAGTTAAGAGAATTGGTCACTTTGAGTTTCACCAGTGACCTTCTCGGTGACTTTGGACAAGTCATTCACCCCCTCTGGTTCTAATTCTTCCTTCTCTAGTATGAAACTTTGGTGGTGAACTTTTTGGGAAATTCTGCATTAGTCAGTCGATAAACATTTATTAAACTATGTACCAGGCACTGTACTAAGTGCTGGTGTTACAAAGAAAAACAGAAGACAGCCCTTGTGCTCAAGAACCTCACAATCTATAGGGAAGACAACATGCATACATCAGAAATAGTTAACAGAGAGAAGGCACTAGATTTAAGAAGGGTTGGGAAAGGCTTCCTGTAGAAGTTGAGACTTTAATGGGGCAGCTAGGTGGCACAGTGGATAGAGCACCGGCCCTGGATTCAGGAGGACCTGAGTTCAAATCCAACCTCAGACATGTAACACTAGCTGTGTGACCCTGGGCAAGTCACTTAACCGCTTTGCCTCGTAAAAAAGAAAAAGGAAAAAAAAAGGAAGTTGGGACTTTAGCTGGGACTTGAAGGAAGCCAGGGAAGCCAGGAGGTGGAGTTGGGATGGTGCCTGGGGTTGGGAGATGGCAGTATCTTGGTCAAGGAACAGCAAAGAGGTCACCGTTACTGAGTCACAGAGTGTGTAGTGAGATGCAAGGTGTAAAAAGACTGGGGAGGGCGGCAGGTTATGAGAGGTTTTGGTTGTGAGGGAGCTGCTGGATTTTATTGAGTAGGAGGAGTTATTAGGAAGTTCTTTCTCTTGTCTCCAGATGTTCCTCTGAGAATCATCCAGCTCTTCCTCAGTGAAAATGAAATGGCTACCCCAGAAGACGTCAATGCCACGGTTAGTACTATGTGCCCAGACTCAGGTCAGGGATGCAGTGGGTGGAAAGCACATTTGGAAAACACATCTCCTAGGGCAAGTAGGTGGCATGGTAGGAAGAGCGCCGGCCCTGGAGTCAGGAAGACCTGAATTCAAATCCAGCCTCAGACACTTGACTCTTACAAGCTGTGTGCCCCTAGGCAAGTCACAACCCCACATCTCTTGGGGCAACAAGTGGCCTAGTGGATTGAGCACTGACTCTGGAGTCAGGAGGACCTGAGTCCAGGAGCTGCAGAAATGAATTGGGGAAACCCAGTGATGGAGCTAAGGCTCACAGGTTAGAAGGATGAAGTTTAAAACAGGATAAAGAACACTAGATTTGGTACTGGAAAAGATGAGTTCAAATCCCAGTTCTGTAACTGTTTGTTACACAAGTCAAATCTCACCTCTGGGCCTCAGTTTCCTCTTTTGTAAAATAAAGGGGTTGGATTAGATGATCTCTAAATTTCCTCTCAGTTCTAAAATCCTGTGCTAGAAAGCTAGGACCTGTTGATCTTCCCTCTTAAAGGCTTCTTGGGGCTCTGTAAATGACGGCTCCTGAACTCAAGAGAAAGAAGCAGGAGAAGGATGGGAAGAAGTGGGGGATCCATGGAGTCAAGTAAGTCAGATTTCTGGAGGGGAAGTTGAAACCGGAGGTGAAATGGTGTAAAGCAGGGGTTCTTGACTTGGATCAGTAAACTTGTTTTTTAAAATATTTTGATAACTCTATTTTAGTATAATTCATTTCCTTTATACTCCTATTAATTTAAAAACATTATTCTAAGAAGAGGTCCATAAGGTTTCACCAGGCTACCAAAAAAAAGACCCATTATGCAAAAATGGTTAAGAACATCTGGTGTCTAGAATAGAGTGAATGGCTAAGGAGAATGTTATAGCCTTTGGCAAGTGGCAAAGCAGGAGTAGTAATTTAAAAGCATCCAATCAAGGAAATGGCTGGTTGAGACAACTTCAACCTTAATGAATATTTTAAACACAAATTATTTAGAACAAAGGTGTCAAATACAGCCTGCAGATGCCATTGGCCGCATTTCTATATTTGAGTTAGACACCATTGGATTGGAATAATGATAAATCCAGAAGAAATAAGTCACATGGATTCAATAATATTTTTATCTTATAAGGCACTTATCAAAGAGCAAGTTCATTTGTTTTATAACCAGATTTCTTTGAATCCGTATATGTCAAAAGCATACTTCCAAAATTACCAATGTTGAACACCTTATAACTATTTGCTGTTGCTATTCAGTCATGTCTGACTTTTCATGACCCCATGGACCATAGCTTGCCAGGCCCTTCTTTCTTTCACTATCTCTCAAAGTCTGTCCAAGATCATGTTCATTGTTTCCAAGACATTATCTATCCATCTCATCCTCTGCAGTCCCCTTTTCCTTTTGCCTTCAATCTTCCCCAACATTGGGGTCTTTTCCAATGAGTCCCATCTTCTCATTTTGTGGCCAAAGTATTTCAACGTCAGCTTCAGTATTTGACCTTCCAATGGAATAGCCTGAATTAATTTCTTCAGTTGTTGACTGATTTGATCTACTTGCTGTACAAGGGACTCTCAAAAGTCTTCTCTAGAACCACAGTTTAAAAGTGTAGATTCTGCAGTGCTCAGCTTTCCCTATAGTCCAACTCTCACAGCCATACTTTGCTACTGGAAAAACCATAGCTTTGACTATATGGACCTTTGTTAGCAAAGTGATGTCTCTGCTTTTTAATACGCTGTCCAGATTTGCCATAGCTTTCCATCCAGGGAGCAAGCATCTTTTAATTTCATGGCTGCAGTTGCTAACTGCAATGATCTTTGAGGCCAAGGGTATAAAATCTGACACTGCTTCCATTTCTTCTTGCTCTATTTGCTGGGAAATGACAGGACCAGTTGCCAAGACCTTAGTGCTTTTTCATGTTAAGCTTCAAGCCAGCTTTTACACTCTCCTCTTTCACCCTCATCAAGAGGCTTCTATCATCTGTATATCTGAGATTGTTGATATTTCTCCTGGAAATCTTAATTCCAGCTTTTGGTTCATCCAGCCTGGCATTTCACATGATGTACTCTGCACGTAAGTTAAATAAATAAGATGATAACATATAGTCTTGTTGTACTCCTTTTCCAATCTTAAACCAATGAGTTGTTCTGTGTTCAGTCATAACTGTTGCTTCTTGACCTGCATCCGGATTCCTTAGGAGACTAGTAAAAGGATCTGGTGCTCCCATCTCTTCGAATGGTTGTCACATTTTGTTGTGATCCATGCAGTTAAAGGCTTTAGTGTAGTCAATGAAGCAAAAGTAGATGTTTTCGTGGAACTCCCATGCTTTCTCTGTAATCTAGAAAATGTTGGCACTTTGGTCTCTAGTTCCTCTGCCTCTTTGAAAACCAGTTGGCTCTTTTGGTAATTCTCAGTTCACATATTGCTGAAGCCTAGCTTGCAGAATCTTAAACATAACTTTGCTAGTGTGTGAAATGAGCACAATTGTTGAGTAATTTGAATATTCCTTGGCATTGCCCTTCTTTAGGATTGGGGTATAAACTTATCTTTTCCAGTCCAGTGGCCACTGTTGAGTTTTCCAAATTTGCTGGCAACACTTTGAGTGCAACACTTTAACAGCATCATTTTTGGGGATTTTTAATAGCTCAGCTGGAATTCCATCACCTCCAATAGCCTTATTGTTAGCAATCCTTCCTAGGGCCCACTTGACTTCATTCTCCAGGATGTCTGGCTGTAGATCAGTGACCACACTATCATGATTACCAGTGATGCTAAGATCTTTCTTGTGTAGTTCTGTGTATTCCTGCCACCTCTTCTTAATCTTGTCTGCGTCTCTACCATTTTTTGTCTGTTATCATGTCCATTTTTGCATGGAACATTCCCTTGATGTCTGATTTTCTTGAAGAGATGTCTTGTCCTTGCCATTCTATTGTTTTCTTCTATTTCTTTGTATTGCTCACTTAAGAAAACTTTCTTATCTCTCCTTTCTATTCTTTGGAATTCTGCATTCAGCATCAGTCTGCACAAACAAGATATAGACAGGATAAAATGAAAATAACCAACAGAGGTAAGGCACTAGAATGAAGAGGGATCAGGAAAGGCTTTTTGTGGAAGGTGGGAGTTTAACTGGAGCTTTAAGTAAGCCAGGGAAGCCAAGAGACAGAGATGAGAAAGTAAAGAATTCCAGGCATGAGAAAAGAAAAGAGTTTTAGCATACCATTGTCAAAAGTCTATGTCTATACATTCACAAAGATAAGAAGAGGTTTTAGAATTATGTAATTTAATGTAAATTGGGTTCTTTTTTCTAAAGTTGCTTCATTTCATTTAAAGGCAGGTACCTCAATACAAAACAGTATTTATTCTGCTTATTTTCACAGCCTAATGTGATTGAAATTCTAAAACAATACTGGCCCATTTAAAATGTTTGATTCTTGACCACCAGAAACCATACTACACTGTTCAATTCTATTCCAACAGACTTTTAGGACTTTATAATTGGCTCGTCCCAACTCATCTTAGATTTGTTTTAAGCAATGCACAGTCATTAATAGAATGTGATCCTTAGCTCCGTCTCACTCCAATAAGATCTTTTGCAAATGCCAGTAATCCTCGCTTTCTTATACACTGAGCTGTCATCAGACTGAGTCAGAGAGAGCCAAGGGCTTCTCTAGTGAATGAAGCATCTCATAGAGATTTCTCACCAACTCTCAATTTGTACTGGATGATGTTGGAAGAGGGGAAAGGCTGTTTCACTTTATCCAATGTCCTCTTCCTTGTGAAGGTAATTTCAGTTCAAGAAAAATTTATTAAGTGCCTACTATGTGCAAAGCCATGGGAAATTAGCAGCTACATGAAAACCATTATTTATTCAAAAAGTTTGAGGACTTGAGTTCAAATGTCAGCTCTACTAACTATGTGATCTTGGGCAAGTCACTTAGACTCTGTGGGCCTCACTTTCTTTATGGGTAGAATTAGAGTGATAGACAACTGAGGGAAGTCCCTTCCAGGTCCAGATTGATGATACTGTGATGCCCGAGATCCTTCTGAACTCTAACATCTACAGTGAGGCCACGTTAGATAGTGGAAAGAGCTTAGGATTTGGAGTACTTTCTCCTCTATGACTTTTGACAAATCACTAACTCTGCCTGAACCTCTGTTTTGTTAGGGAGACTCCTCTTCCTGAGTTCAAATCTGGCCTCGGACATTTACTAGCTATGTGACCTCAGGCAAGTCACTTAATCCTGTTTGCCTCAGTTTCCTCATCTGTCAAATGAACTGGAGAAGGAAATGGCAAACCACTCCAATATCTTTGCCAAAAAAACCCCAATGGGGTCACAAAGAGTCAGAGGCAACTGAAACAACTGAACAACAACAACAACAAAAAAGGGAGGTGTCAGACTAAATGATCTCTAAGATCCTTTCCAGCTCTAAATCTTTCCTACAATTGGCCATTGGCCTAGAATCAGGGGAGCAGCTAGGCCAGTAGTACAGTTTCTCCCTGTAATATAACGTGTGTGGATGTATGGGTTTAGAGGAGGGGATAGGCAGAGGGACAAGGGGAGAGAAGAATGCAAAGGGAAGGAAAACCTAGCGGCAGAGGGGAAGTGGGAGGGAATTGTCTTCTCTGGCTGATGCCTACCCTGTGTCTGCTCCCATCTCAGGTCACTCATAAGCTGAAATTCCTAGAAGGTCGGGCCTTTCTGAAGATCAGCCAGGTTACAAAAATGTAGGTGGAAATTTCTTATCCCTCTGCCCATCCCTAAGGGTTTTAGTGCTTCTCTCCTTCCACCCCTTTTCCTTGATCAAGACTTCCTTCTTTGCCACTCCCTAGGGACAGCCTTGGGTCTTAGAAAACAGTATACTATTGTGGAAAGAGATTTAGATTTGCAGTAAGAGAACCTGGATTCAAATTCTGGCTCTGACACTTGCTATCCACGTGCCCTTGAGCAAGTCAATTCCTCTCTTTTCTGCGTCTGTAAAATAAGGGGGTTGAACTAGCATGATGTCTAATGTCCCTTCCAGCTCTCGATCTTATTATCTATCCATCCTTCTGCCAGCCACCATCCTATAGCTTCTGACCTCACCCACCAAGAACTATTTGGTGTCCTTGGTTCACAGCAATACCAATGGTCTGGTTCAGAAGTGGAATGTGACTGCAGAATTCCAGTACCTCCCTGGGGGCTCCGTGATTGATTTCCTGAACAATAGGCTGGTGGAAGCAGTCCGGGAGCACCTCTGGAAATGGGATACACTCTCAGGGATTTCGAATCCACGGAAAAATGTGTCCTTTTTCCCTGTTACAGCGAAAGATATCATCGATGTAAAATTACGTGAGTCATTCTGCATTGTAGAGGGAGGGGAGAGAAAGAGGGTATGGAAGAAAATAATATTAATATTAATAATGTATTCTGCATTTAGGTACCAGTCTATGGGAAACAGTTTTATTCAATTTATCAATATCCAAAATATTGCTAGCTGAGAGAGAAAAGAGGAGAGAGAGGAGAGAGGGGAGAGAGAGAGAGAGAGAGAGAGAGAGAGAGAGAGAGAGAGAGAAAGAGAAAGAGAAAGAAGTATCCAAACTATCATAGTTTCCCATGTCCTCTGACATGACTCTGCCCCAAGACAATTTTAAGTAACATTTACAGGAATCTTGAACAAAGAAAAAAATATGGTAGGGGTTAACATTCCATCCCATTCCTACCAAATCACTCCTCTCAAGGAATCAATGGGTCTTCTTCCAGACATCTATATGGAAAAGGTGCTTACTTTTCAATGGAAAGGGGCACTTCCCTTAGGTAGGTCCCCTGGGGCCAGGAAGACAAGATATTATATAGACCAGAGGTGATAAACACTTGCAGTATGTAGCAGGCAGAACTCCTGGAGTACAGCAGAACCAGATTAAAAGGTAACTGGGAAATGTTTAACAAAATATAAATACAATAAAATATAGATAGTAAATTTTAAACTCAAGTCAGCATATGGTCCATAAGATCCTTATGAGGGAATTGTGGCCCCCATTTCTATGGGAGTTTGACACCACTAATCTACTCAGAATGGAGAAGTTGTTATTACCTTTAAATTCATTTCCCTAAAAAAGGCCTTTTCATCTTCCACCTATCACTCTCCTTCCTGAGGGCTTTTCCCAGAATGGAAAGGGCTTAGAGAAAAAAAATATTATTTCTTAATATTTCTGGAAAAACTAAAAAAAAAAAAGATATTTGTAAGTGTGTTTCCACAAGAGCAAATTGCCAGATCTAGAAGATGGATTTGCTGGATTACCAAGATTACTAGGAATCCATGGGCATCTTTCAGACACTCCCGACTTCCTTTGAAGAGCTGTCTTTTCTCAGAATCACTGAATCTCATCTTTGGAAGGGAAGTCAGAGGTCCTCTTCGTCTGCCACACGCCCGGACGAGAATCTCCACTGTGACATACCCAACAGTAGTCATCCAAAGTTTGAAGACATCTAGTGCTGTGGAACTCACTATCTCCTGAGGCAGTCATTCATTTAGCTTATGGCTAGTTCTGCCTGTTAGAAAGGTTTTCCTGGAGCAGTAGGGAAAAACTATGTGTCTCTAAATTATTCTTTCTCCAGCATTCTGAGAAACAATACCACCCCCTTCCCATTATGTAAAGTAGAGATTTTGGAGGGGAGAGAGAGGAAGTCTATAAACTTAGATTGGAAAAAAATTACATTTTTATTATCATTAATTCTAATTGAAATATAACATTTCTTTCAATTATGAATTTAAAAAATAAAAAACCATTATTCCAAGGAGTCCACATCTTTCACCAGACTGCCAAAGGGATCCATGACACAAAAAAGGTTTTGAACCAATGCTTTGAAGCAGCTGATGGGAACCTTTATTCTAAAGAGGACCACTGACCCTCAAGGTGAAAATCAATGTCCACCTACAAGTGAAAAACAACTTAATTTAGAGTTTTTCAGAGGGAGTAGTTGAGAGAAACATGAAACATTCCCCTCATCCACTTTTAAAAATGTTAACAAAGGATAAAAGAGACTGCAGAGATAATCTTACCCACATTGTTAGCTGACTCCTCAGAAAAACATTGTTACATAAAATGTCATAAGGACCAGCTAATTTTATGACAATAATGTTATAAATATTATAACTGAGTGATTGGCTGAGCGACATTACAGTCTTTGATTAAAAAGTATTAGAAATTATTGTGGAATGATGTTTGTTGAGGTGATGTTAGCCAAGGCTTACTCTATGTTCCCCAAATTCAAGAAATAGTTTGTGACACACAGGTAGCCTCTTTTGGAGTGACCTCCTCATTTGGTGTCTATGGTAACAAATGACTATTACTGCCATGCTAAATTGGCAACTACAGACCCAATTGAGAGCCACATAAAATCAAATGGGAAGTCAATGAGATTTTTCCACTGTAGTTAAAATCTTACTTTTGGGTAAAAGTCAAATAATAGAAAGAACTTAGTGTAATAGAAAAAACACTGGACTGAAAGTCAGAAGATCTAGGTTCTAGGTCCATCTCGGTCACCATCTTGTTGTGAAGCCATGGTCACGTATTTCTTCTTTGGGGGCCCTAGGGTCTGCAAAATGAGAGGTTTAGATTAGATCACCTCTTAAGGTTTTATGCTTCAAATAAGGAAGTCTTCCCGGGAGAGAGGAAGAATTTCCACCCCCATTCTCTGTAATTGCTCAAAGAATTTGATAGTGGCAATCCTAACTATAACAACAGCTACCATTTTCTTTGGGCATTTGGGTCATGGGAAGATTCAAGTATCTCTGGCCTCCATTTCTAGCCTCTTCCAGTGTACTTTGGTTTCAGGAGCAGATGAGAAAAGACGTTCTTTCAGCCCTGACTTTCTGTTCCCTCTGATAGTTGAAGTGAATGACCTGAAGAAGTACTTCATCTGCAATGACACTTACCCTGGTTACCACCTTGTTTACAATGACAAAACTGGCTTCTCCTGTGTGTCTCCCTGTTCTGAGAGCTACTGTAAGCATGGAGGCCTGTGTCAACACCTGCCTAGTGGGCCAAAATGCAGGTGAGAAGGGGCCAGCCATACAGGATGGGAGGGGAGGAAAGAGGGAATTCAGGATGGTGGTTGAAATATGTTCCCCAAAGCACCTCAGGACTTTAGGGAATGCCAAAGAATAAGGCAATGAGGATTGTTCAGTCATTTTCAATCATGTCTGACTCTTCATGACCCCACTTGGGATTTTCTTGGAAGAGATACTGAAGTCCTTTGCCATTTCCTTCTCTAGTACATTTTACAGATGAGGAAACTGAGGCAAACAGGGTTAAGTGACTTGCCTAGGGTCATACAACTACTAAGTGTCTGAGGCCAGATTTGAACTCAGGAAGAAGAGTCTTCCTGACTCCAGGCCTGGTGCTATATCCACTGCACCACCTAGCAGCCAAGACAGTGAGGATGGTGTTCTTTATTACAGAAATGAGGGGAGATCAGTGAGGGATATCATACTTGCCTTGTGGATGAGAAACAAATTGTCTGTGTTTGAGATCCCTGGCTTCATGTAGAAGGCGGGATTTTAGCTGGGACTTAAGGGAAGCTAGCAGGCAGAGATGAGGAGGGAGGGCATGCTGGTGTGGAGGACAGCCAATGATAATGTCCAGATGTGGAAGATGGAGCATCTTGTCTTGCACAAGGAACTTCAAAGAACAGCAAGGAACAGCACAAAGACAATCCGGCCTGGATTGCAAACTTTGTAAAGGGGAGTAAGGTAGAAGAAAACTGGAAAGGTAGAAGGTGGCCGGACTACGAAGGGCTTTAAATGCCAAACTGAGGATTTTATAATCAATCAATCAGTCAATGCTTTAGCACCTACTATGTGCCAGGCACTATGCTAAGCACTGGGGATACAAAAAGAGGCAAAAGATACTTCCTGCCCTCAAGGAACTTACAATCTAATGGGGGAGACAGTGTAAACAAATATATACAAAACAAGCTATATAAAGGATAAATAGGAAATAATAGAGGGAATGCACTGAATTTATAGGGGATGGGGAGGGCTTCCTATAGAAGTAGGAATTTTAATTGGGATTTAAAGGAATCCAGAGAGGTCAGTAGTCACAGCAGAGGAGGCAAAAAAGCATTCCAGGCATGAGGGACAGCCAGAGAAAATGCTCAGAATCAAGAGATGGAGTGTCTTGTTAGTGGGACAGCCAGGAAGCCAACAGTGTCTCTGGATCAAAGAATATGTGTTGGGGAGAAAGGAATAAGAAAACTGGAAATATAGGAAGGACTAGGTTATGAGAGGCTTTGAACTCAGATGATTTTGTATTTGATCCTGGAGATGATAGGGAGTCATTTAAGCTTATTGGGGTGGGAGGAGAGGGAGGGGCACGGGAATGACATGATTAGACCTGTGCTTTAGGAAAATCACTTTAGTAGCCAAAAATTATATTTTATTTATTTTTGAGCCTTCTTCAGATGGTGCCCAGAGATATTCATAGGAATGATTCTTGGTCTCTCCTGATGATTCAGAGTCAAATCTCTCCTGATTTGAGGTGGAGAGTCCTTGTACTGTACTACTCCTAGCCCTGCCCAGAAACACTTTTTTCCCTTCTAGAAAAGCGGGTGTGAGTTGGGGTTGAGGAATAAAGCTGAGGGAATTTGGAGAAAAGGATCCAGAGGACACTAATGAATGAGTTGTTTAAGTGACTGTAAGAATGTTTCAGGACTATATTGGTCATCTTTAATAGCTAGCCCCCTCTCTCCATCCTGGCTGTCTGTTCTAGAGGTCTAGAGAATCAAATGAAATGCTATTTGTAATATTGTGAAATATTTTATATTAGTTATACAGCATGAAAAGTAAAGTCTTGCCATATTTTAAAAGCCCAAAGCCACCCTTCCTTTTTATAGCCTCAGGGTCTTACACCTGGTATGTCAAGGACCGATGATTTCCTCTAACATGAGAATTCCCAGTGTTCAGATTCCCTTCACTATTTTTAATTTACAGTCTTAGAATACTGCCCAAGGAAAGTGGATATAGCTCTGCACTTGGAGTCAGGAAGACCTGGGATCTGATCCTGCCTGTGATATTTGCTAGCAAGCTGTGAGACCCTGCACAAAGCACTCACTTCCTCTCAGCCTCAGTTTCCTCATCTATAAAAGTAGGGAATTGGATTAGATGGCCTCTCGGGTGCTTTCTAGCTTTAAATCCGTGGTTCTAAGTATAAGAGATAAGCTTTTATTCCAGGTCTTCCTGATACCAAATCCTGAACCACTTTTTATGGTATCACCCTGCCTCTTAGGCCTTGAACCTAATAGGAGCTTAATTGTTTATTGAGCTGAAATAAATTCAACTGGGACATGTATGCTATGACTGTGCTGGTCTTGTCCTCATCATGGCCCTAAGGTTGACTCTGACATCTCTTCCTGAGAGATGAAATCAGCTTATCGAGGAATACCCTCCTTCCTCTCCAACCTTTTCAGCCCTAGCAAGTGATGAGGAAGAGGCCAGAAAAGTTCCTTCTTACTCCCTTTCTCTCTTTTTTTAAATAAATTTTACATGTATTTATATTCTTTTCACTCCCCCCTCCCAATTGAACAACAACCAAAAAACCACAAAAAATAAAAACTTTCATCATATATGTGAAACTAGAAACTTTGTTGATTATCTCCAATTTATCCTGTATATTTCTTGTTTGTACATAATTGTTTTCATAGTGTCTCACTGGGGCAGCTAGATGGCATAGTGGATAGAGTACTAGGCCTGCAGTCAGGAAGACCTGAATTCAAATTCTACCTCAGACACTTACTAGCCATGTGACCCTGGGCAACTCACTTAACCCTGTTTACCTCCATTCCTCATCTGTAAAATGGGGATAAGTGTACCTACATTACAAGGTTATTGTCAGGTAGGTAATGAAGTGGATAGAGTGCTGGGCCTGGGGTCAGGAAGACCTGAGTTGTCTGGTCTCAGACAGTTATTAGCTGTGTGACCTTGGGCAAGTCACTCAACCTCTGCCTCAGTTTTCTCATCTGTAAACAGGGGATAATAAAAATAGCACCTGTCTCCCAGTGTTGTTGTGAGGATCAAGTGAGATACTATTTGTAAAGTGCCTGGCATATAGTAGGTGCTTATAGAAATGTTAGCTGTTACTATTACTAAATGAGATACATTTTGTAAAGTGCTGGCATATAGTAGAGGTTATGCAAATGTTTATTTCCACCAGCCTTTCCTTTCCCCACCATCCCCCATTAGCCTTTCTTTGATTTCCTAGCATTTAGCATGGTGCCCGGAACACAGCAGATGCTTAATAAATGCTGTATGACTTCTCATTACCTTTTTCCTCTTTTCTATTGCCAGCTGTGGTCCCTATTCCATCTATTCCCCATCAGGAGAACGCTGTGAGCATTTGGGCATAAGCCTCGGTGCTTTCTTAGGGATCCTGTTTGGAGCACTGGGTGCCCTCCTTCTGTTGGGGGTTGGAACCTTGCTGATTCTTCGATACTGGCGAAACTCAGGGAGATGGTACACCATCAGTGATTCTGAGAGGTGAAAAACCTACGGACAAAGGAGAGCCAGCTGTAGCCATGCCCCCTCCACCTTTACCTTTACAGCTCTATGCTCTGGTGCTTTGGGAAGACAGTCATTGGAAATGTTTCAGGATTTTTCAGGGAGGATGCTTAATGAACAAGAGATTAAACTGGGACAACACACCATATCAGTATACACACAGGGAGGCAAGCCACAAAGAGACACCCCCATGTGTGTATACCCAACAGGACTCATTTGGGGATAATGGGCCAATGCACTTTGGATGATATTTTGCACATGAGACTCTTTGGATTTACCTCTGAATAAATGAAATCTATTTAAGTCAAATTGTTCTTGAATTTCATGGGTTCAAAAACCGAGAATTCCATTTCTGACTTTCTTTTTCATGGCTGAGGAGACAAGTACAACCTACATGTCTTAAATGGGCACTTTGGGGGAGGGCAGGGGTATTGATGGACCCTTCCTAGCCCACAGTCTCTATAATGAAGACTTAGCAACTCTAAGTCCTGACCTGATTTTTCCTCTACTGACTCTGTGGAGCTTGTTTCAGTCCAGCCAACCAGGATTTTTTTGGAGGGAAATTGGAGGAAGAGAGAGATATCACTCAGAGACTCCCTAAAGATGTTGGGTGTGTTTTTAAAATAACACATAGGAAAGGATACACAGGTATTCACACTACATCTGTCACACAGCTGCTCCCTGGGTCCCAGGGTACTTGACTCTAGGATTGTCCAACTGAGAAAAACAAAACTTTTTCAAGCCAAAGGTATCCTGCCAACCACCCCTTTTGTAATCTCACTTAAGGGAAAAGGTGCCCGTGATGGAATCACCATTTGTTGCAACAGAAATTGGCAGGTCCCCGAGGGTTCCTCCTAATCCTGAATTGCGTGCCCTCACTGCTTCTTCTGTATTTGACCTAAAACTGATACATGCAAGATCCTTAGGTCAATATGAGGGGTGGTAGTCTTCACTCTCTTTATTCTGGACCGCCAACAAATAATCTTTCTGTCTCCATATCTCTATGTCTCTCTCTCTCTCTCTCTCTCTCTCTCTCTCTCTCTCTCTCCACACACACACACACACACACACACACGCACACTCATGCACACACACGCACACACTCCCAAAAGTCTCAATGCAGTTGCAGTTTTAAGCTTCTAAAGCTTAAAAATCACCAAGACTTTTGGGACACCGTGTCTATTTCCTTTCTCATGAAACGCTTACTAAAAGCAATTTTGAAATAATAAGCAGGAAAGAAGCAAGTACATATTTAATGGGTAACCTAGATACTTGCACTTCATAGTGCAGCAAGATAAAGAAATGAGATGGAAAGATTGGTTTGAGTTCTATAACTGGATGGAGTCCAGGTCCACGAAGTCAAGGCACCATTTTGTGTATTTTTACTATGATGTCATCATGTTTCTAAATCATTATATGCCTATATTTATATCTATCTATATCTAGAGAATTTTTATAATTATATATAGCTATTTACATACATACACATGTGTAACAGTGTGATATATGTATATTGACATATGTACATATATTTATATATACACATCAATATATACATTAAAAGACACAAGAGCATACAGTAACTAGCCATATACAGGAGATGTGTGTATGTGTGTGTATAAAAATATATATGTATATATACACATACATACACACACACACATATATACACATACATACAAGACTGATTTATATAGAGAAGGATAGAAACCAAACCTCATTGGTACTAATGAAGGTCAGCAATTTAAAGTCAGAGTTTCATAGGGTATAAAGAAAGAGGTTGTGACCAGGACCAGGATCACGATGGAATATAGAAGCTAAGTACAGGACCAGGGCATTCAGGAGAAACCAGCTGTTGCTTTGCAATGGGATGCAAAAGAAAGAACAAATATGCCATCTGTCAACCATTCTAACGAAGATTCAGTGATCACTTCTTGACCAAGCATTGATACCAATTACTCTTACTGTGATTTAATTATGAGATTTAACCATACACACCCCCAACCCCAAATTTTAAGGCAAATACCTCAAGACTTTCTTCCTGATACAGTGCCAAGACCTAAGCCCAAGTGAATTTTAAAGTATTATCAACTTTATTCTTATGTGGTCTGTGCCACTTATTTTAATAAACAAAAGAAAGAATTCATTACATACACATAAATGCAGAAAGACACTTTCCTGGAGTAATATGACAATGTTTTAGGCTATTGCTACTAATAACTTTTTAAAGTCATGACACATTTTTGCAGTTATAAGTATAAAGGAGGTAAAAATCACTTGGTTTCTGAACTTTTGCCCAGAGAAGTGCCTACTTAAGTCATCCCTGGCTGAACTGTCCCAGGGTCTATCCCTGGATTTCCTTCATTCTCCAGGATCACCCATTTGATAAAAGGATTCACACACACACAAACATACACACACACACACACACGTAGATGCTTATTTCTATTCTGTTTCCAGTTTCCAGAGTTTTCACTAGTCCATTCCCTGTGATTCTTTTAACTCACCTTAAAGCTCTTTAAATTTCAGGGACCATGACCATTTATCTTGTTTTGCAAGTGTCCAAACCAGTAACAGTCATGGGTGAGAACTTCATAAAGACTGTTTGATGATGTTTGATGCTGGTTAAGTCCCAGATCCAGGAACAAGTTGAGGTGGATTGTGGTTATATGACCAAGAAATGGTGAAGGTCATGGCTAGGGCAGATGAGGGGAAGGAAAAGCAATGATGTATAATGCCCTAATGCTCATTAGTTGCAGAAAAACAATGTTGGGTGGGCTGTTAGTTCCACGTTATAAATAGATGACTGGCTAAATGATGTTGCAGCAGGTTTTCATAATTTTATGGTGTGAGTTGGTTATAATATATCGATGACATTAATGTGAAATAATGTTAGTCAGAGGAACGGGGAATGCTTGCACAATAATTTGAGCTAATCCAGTTTTGGGGGCTAAGGTGAGTTGGTAGGGATGTATGTGGATTATATTGGTCCTATATTGGTGTTTGTGTGTGACTCTTATCCAAATGACCAATTGAAAATTTGTTCTCTTTGACTAGGTATATTTGTTACAAAAGTTTTGTTTTTCCTCTTTTTTTCCAGTGGGAAAGAGGGAGGTGACAGACAAGGAGATAAGGATATGGATTTCCCCCCCCCCCCCCGCCCCATGAGAAGAGAGCAGAAGGAATCACAGACAAGCAGGACAGTTTTGAAAGTTATGTATTATATGAAAATCATATGAAAGCAATCTACAGAATAGAGACTCACAGTTTCATGTGCAATCCCCTCTGTTCTATAGTATATATGGAAATGCTCATTTTATTTAGTTGTTTTTAAGCCCATACCTTAAAAAAAACTAAATAAAATCTGATTCTTGTCCAAGTATTTCCACAAATGCTCCATGGAGGATTCATCCAGTGCAGTGGAGGCCTTCCTTTGCTTCTCTTATTTTTTGCCTGCAGTTCAACAGTTGGGTGATCCATTGGAAGTGGCCTATCCTACTTCCTTCTTCACTCACACATGTCCTTGATGATGCTTTTTCATCTCCTATAGCATGCTAGTCCTTGTTGGCATTTTGCAATGAAATGCCATGAAATAACATAAAAGGAGTCAACAAGGTCATGAACAGACCGCAACATACTACCAATCTACCAAAACATTGCAATGTATAATGTCACTCTTCTGCTCAAAATAGTCTGGTGACTCCTCTATGCTCATGTATTGGGACTCAAGGCACTCCTTACACCTTATCTATCTCTTTTATATGAATTCTCTGCTCAACCCAATGGGTCTATTCATTGTCCTCCAAACACACATTGTACTTTCCTATTCCTGATTTCTTTCCCTCAAATAAACACACACACACACACACACACACACACACACACACACACCCTAAAATGGCCTTGCTTTTTCATACCACCTATTAAAATTCATCTTTTGAAACCCGACTCAAATCTTACCTTCTTCATGGAGAATGTTATGACCACCCTTCCAAAAGTGATACCTGAATTCCCACAGCACTCATCGTCTCTACAGTTAATTTGGCACTTTTCTCTAATGTTTAATACTGTTTTTTCAATGTAACTACGTCTTCTCTCCCCAGCTTGATGCCCTCTCCTGGAGGACAGAGACTATGTCTTGTCTAGTAATAGCTCAATTAAGGAATACTCTAGAAATAAAGCTCTTTTATAACAAAGTTTTTATTTTTTTAATTGCCAAATGTTATGGGAAGTAGAGAATCTATTTTAGTCAATGATTAAAATGCTCCTGAGTAGCTTCAAAATAGCTCCTACCTAGTTGAAGGTGAAGATTGATCTGTAGAGTCAAAGGACAAACAGATGGACAAAAATGTGAAATCTTACGTGCTTGTCTTCTGCGTCCCTGGCCTCTCATTTTCTTCCTTTTGTATTGACCTCTACTTCCCATTTCAGATATTCAAAGTTCTCCTCTCTTCTTTATCCTCTTTCCTTATCAAAATAGGAAAGAATCTAATATCAAGAGTTCTCTCTTCCCCTCACACAGTCTGCCTTGCCCCCAGTGACACTCTACTTCCCTGGATGAACCTGACCGCAACTGTCTTAGAGCTATATTTTAGAACTTAAAGAAGTATAGTTCATCATCAATGGACTATTCCTGCTGCAGCCCTTGGATGTGGAGCCTTTTCTGCCTGAGCACAGGTCCCACTTCTCCCTATCTCCAAGTCTTTCAGATGCTAAGGATATAGGACCCAAGAAAATGTCCTTTCCCTTCCCCATTGTCACTGCTCACAGCCTGACCTGGGTTTCCTATACCCCTGCTCTAAGTGTAATGATCATGCTGTTGACTTTTGGGAAGGTCATCCACAGTTTTGTAGTACATCTCAGATCAAGGGTTGTGACAAGGAGGAGGTAGTATAAAGCAGAGGAATATGTGCTTCAGTGGCTGGTGAACAGTACATTGTAGAAAAAAGGGCTTCATCCTTGGCATGAGGTGGGCAAGAGGATTTGTGGAAGTAAGGAACTCAGGAAATTAGACAGTTAGATCCAGTGCTTATGTTTCTATGTGTGTGTGTATATGTATGTGTGAGAAGATTGAGCTGTATAAAGTATTAGGGGAAACTGTTCAAATCAAGACTGATGACAGATACTAGAGAATTAAGAAAGTGAGAAAAGAGACTTCAATATAGTTTGGTTGTACAAAAAAAGGATACTAATTATAGTCATTTATATGAACTGTTTAATATGTATGCCTAATTTCCCTATAGCATAATAATTACCATATATGTCTTTAAATATTTATCATGTTAATTTTGCTATAGTGTTTGAGCATAATACTAAGCATTGTGTATGTTCAGTCTTCAGAGTTTGTTGCTCAGAAAATATTGCTCAGAACTCAGTCTAAACCTGTAAATGTTCACATTGGATTAATTGGAATTAATTTAATAAATTAATCAAATTGGACTAATGAAACACCATTCCTTTAACTATTGCCTTCTTCACCCAATCCCAGGTCAGTTTTATACACATAAGTCACTTGATCAAATACAGATGGTACCATTAAATGCAATTCGTCAGAGGACAAGAGTGGACAAAGAAGATGCTGCTCAGATGCTTCCACTGAAGCACATGCTCATCACATTCCCTAAGGATTGTCCATGCCTGGTCCTCAAACACAACTTAAGGTACACAAGGCCCTCTTACAGAGACACACAGAACACACACTCCTTTACACCCCTCCAGGCATACCAGCAGGCCACACAGACACAAAGGAAGCAATACACCTAGGGCCCCAACTTACCGCAGCCATACTACCTTGCCACAACAAATTCCATCCCTCCTCTTTCTCCTAGAATCTGAACATTCTGCATCTACAATACTGTTAGAGATGTTCCCAAATGCACCAGCAATGGTTGTGTTGCCTCTCCCACTTAAATACCCTGGCTGTGCTTAGGGTGAGTTCTGGTCTTAGAGACCTTTTTTACTCTCTACCCTGTTTTATATGACTCTCTTGGTACAGCAGAAAGCCCTGGACTCCCCCAAAATAATGCAAAACATGGAGGACTTATACTTAACACCCTTGAACAATCAAAACAACTCTTCTTCCCTCTTCAATTGGCCCTACCTCCCCCTACCCAGGGCTCTATACCAGTTCTCCAGATAGATAATGCTCCCTCTGGTTGAAGCTTTCTCAAAACAATTGGGGTTGATAGAGAACCATAGTGAATCCCACTTCCCCAAGAATTTATATAGTCTAGTCAAAAGCGTTTATTAAGCACTTACTTTGTACAAGAGGGACTGTGCTAAGCACTGGGGACTCAATGAAAGGGAAAAAAACAAAGTTCTGCCCTTCAAGAACCCTACATTCTAATGGGAGTGGAAATATGTAAAATAACTGAAGATTATATATATAATATGCGTGTGTGTGTATAATATGTATGTATACACACACAACTGGAAGATAATCTCAGAGGGCAGGAACTAACTATCCTTTAGACATACAGTGCTCTCTTGTAGTTGAAGCTCCAATGAAAAAGGAAAAAAACTAGTTTTCTAGACACTCACTCCTTTCTAATTCACAGAACTAATAGAGGACAAGGTCTAGGTTTCCTTCTCCACATTATGGTTCTATCCTTCACTCCTCCTCGGCTCCAACTCCTGTATGGTTCAGGAGTTTTCTCTCTAGAAGCCAGAATCTGGGAACTCCTGCCCTTCCCCACCTTCAACCACTGCCTCTCCTGCAGCTGTGTTTCAGGTCATGTGACTCCTTCCTCTCCTAGGATGGTCATAATCCCTTCTCTGGGAACTCCTTGGCCCCTCTGTCAATGCCTTTCAACAGCAGCTATCTCTGTGGTCAGTCAGTCAATAAGCATTTATCAAGTGCCTACTATGTGTCAGGCCTCCTACATGCCAGAGTCAAGAGATTCCCTAAGTTTGATGCCCTCCCTCTCCCCTGTCCCTGCCATGGACTCAAATTCATTCTCTTTGTGTGTAATCTCGCTCTCTCAGATCTGGTCTCTGCCCATGCAGAAATGAATGTCTCCTTTGTGTCCTCTTTCTGTTCCCTTTCCAAGACCAAGCTCAAGGGTATGGTTCCAATCCACACAAGCCATGGAACTCCTACCATCACCCCAAATGCCAAGATCCTATCAATCTTCAATGAAATGTCAACGGGCCAGTAAGCATTCAGGTCTCTCTTCATGTTTCAACCAGTGTGATCAAAACACTCATGGTGTTCATAGGGTGTTCACACTTTGTATTGGGAAATATCTTCAAAGAATGAAGGCTTTAACTTTAAGTTGAGTAAGTTATTCTGGTTATATTCTTTACATATAAGAAGACGATAACCATATCTTGGTAACCATGTTTGTGTGTGTCTGTGTTTATGTGTGTGTATGTGTGTGTGTGTGTGTTTTATTCACAGTGCCTACTATAGCATCTTATACTTAGTAAATGCTCAGTAAATACCCTTTATATATATATGGAATATTATACCTGGAAGGGACTTTAGAGATCATTTAGTCCCATCCCCTTATTCTAAAGGGTATGAATGAATGAATGAACTTGCCTTATCTATTTTACAGAGATCATAAGATCATGCTTTAAAACTTGAAGGGACCTTAAAGGTTACTTCTTCATATAGTTCAAATACATTCTCTGACATCTACTAGCTGTGTGACCCTGTGTGACACTGATATCACAACCTCTTTGACCCTGCAAATTTGGGATAATAGCATGTCTCAGCTGGTTGTGAGGATTAAATCAGATTGTAAAGGGGCAGATCTGTTGTAGGGTGGCATATCCTCTAAGAGAGTATTGAGATAATGAAGAGGGGCTCCCAGTTCTAAGCTCCTATGAGCTTATCTTTAAATCTGATTATCTCTCCCTACTAATGAAGAAACTGACATCCAGAGAAGTTAAAAACTTGTCCATGGTCACACCGAAAGCCAGGACTGGAACCAAAGATTCTGATTCCAAATTCAGGGCTCTTTCTACCGCACTATATAGATAACACCATTCCAACTTTAATATATATATATATATGAATATATATACACACACACGTATACATATACATACATATACATATATATTAAGAGGTGGATATGAGAAGAATAGGTATTTTTAGTTAGTGTAAATTTCATGAGGACAGGGTTCAGATGCTATCTAAACTTTGTATTTTCTTAAGCAAGTAGTACAATGCTCTGCACACAGTAGGTGCTTAATGCTTCTTGAATTAAATTGAATTGAATCTGGATGATCTCTTTGAGAGGGGGAATAAGGCTATACATGCCCAGAACCACAAAGTACCTGAATCCTAATTTCACAGAACTCTATATGGGTCAAATACACCCAGTGTCACCATAGTAATAGAATCACAACAGAATGCAGACTGGGGGGGGGGGGGCGGAATAGCCCTTTATTAAAATGCTCATTTATGTGCCCAAGGAAGTATCTTTGATCTTCTGTCCAGAACCCCCAGGGTAAGTCCCCCAGCTGTATGGGGTGGATGCTGTGCTGTTCTCTGTGGAGGTAGGGGGTTAAAGAGGATGGCTTCTATTAGGACCTTCCACCAACACCTTTGCCCAGGAATGCAGCCTGCAATCCTCCTTGTGGAGACACAGATTATTAGCAGCATTATCTTCTCTTTACTGAAGTCACTCTCCAGGATGCTACAAACAACTCTTCAGCCCTTGGTGACCTTCATCAAGGAGATTTGGGTGTAGGGGACTTGTACCTGCAGATCCTGACGAAGCTGCCAAGGATAAAAAGTCAATTACTTACCCATCCAACCTATCAAGTCACCTTGAGAAGAGGCACCTTCCACTCTATACAACCTTCCCAACACTTTGAGTTAGATAGAGGCTGAGCCAATCCAATCTGCCTCTGAATTTCCCCTTTATGACATCATGGGGAATCACACCAATCCCTTGAAACTCTGTTTTAAGTTTTGCTACTGAGAGTTTGACCCACCCAATGGTCTGAATTGATGGCAATTTTTCCAGACTACTAGGCCAATGCTGCCCAATCTTGGTTTCTAGGAAACCACCTGTGAAGTTCCCTTGAGTCCCATGGGGGTGAGAGACGTGGTGACCTTAATTTTGGTTCATCCCTTTCTTCTTGTCCCCAGCTCCAATGTGGCCGTTGTATTGCTTATTGGGACCAAAGCAAGAGGATACTCTCTCTACAGCACAGAATGGGAAACTAGACCTCGTAGAGACAACAGCAAACCAAGGTCCCCTGAGTACTAATTGCCCAACAGATATGAAATTTCCTCCCAGGGGCTTCTTAGTCTTTCTTAGCACACCTTAAGGAAATGTGTTATGGTGGAAAGAGCCCTGCACTAGAAATCAAAGGACCTGGGCTTGAGCAGGAGAGGGAATAATAAATATAAGCATTTATATAGAATCTATTATGTGACAGGCACTACGTTAAGCATCCTTTACAAATATTATCTCATTTGATCCTCACAGAAACCCTGGGAGGTAGATGTTTTTATTATCTCCCTTTTATAATAAAGGAAACTGAGGCAAATGAAAGTTAAGACTTGCCCAGGGTCACATAATAAGTGTCTGAAGGCTGGATTTGAACTCAGGTCTTCCTGACTCCAGGCCTAGCTCTCCATCCACTACACTACCAGTTGCCGCTAAAAACTGAGGCAGACGAAAGTTAAATGACTTGTTCAAGTTTATACATCTAGGAAGTGCCTGAGGTAGGACCTGAACTCAGGACCTTCTGACTCCAGGTCCAATCTTCTATACAGTGCAGACTCTCCCATCACATTCATTTTACGAGTATGAGCCAATCATTTCACTTCTCAGGGCCTCAGTTTCCCCAGCTCTGTACTGAGGTTAATAATGCTTGTTATTATTTTTGAGATATATACCTAAAGTACTTGGCAAACTATATAATACTCGGAAAATGTAAGAGATTATGTTATTATTATTGATCTATCCCCTATGTGTTCTTTATCTACAACCTTTCTCAAAAGGACAATGTGCTTCCTCCTTAAACTCACCGCTCAGTCCCTGCAGGCTATAGTTCTTAAACTACTTACTACCAAACCTTTCCTGATCCCTCCCAGGAGGCAGTGTTCTCTATTTCTTGAAATTATTTTATTTTGTTTTACATGTATTTTGCATTTCTTTGTCTATGCTCATATTGTGTTCTCCAATAGAATGTAAGTCCCTTGAGGACAGTTGCTGTTTTGTCTTTCTATCATAAAGCCTGGAACATTAGTAGAAAGGTAGGAAACAAGCGTTGATTAAGTACTATGTACTAGGGGCTTTACCAATATTTTTTCATTTGATCTATACATCAACCTTGAGAGGTTGGTGCTATTATTATCTCCATTTTACAAATGAAGAAACTGAGGCAAACAGAGGTCAAGTGACTAGCCCAGGGTCACACAGAGACGTGTGACTGTAAGGTCTACCTGATTCCACTGAAGAATGGGCAACTGACTGTGGCCAGAGAGAGTCCCTTCTATTTCTGGATACCTCTAATTGTTAAGAAGTTTGTCCTGACGTGAAGCCTTAACCTACCTCTCTGTACTCTCCACCCATTGCCCCTGCATTGTTCTTCCCTGTAGGGCCAGGCAGAACAGATCTAACCTTCTTCTACACGGTAGACAACCCTTCACATTCTTGTTTTTATTCAGGGTTGAGTGTAAAACTCTACCCACTGTGCTAGGAAGCTAGGTAGCTGCCTAGCGCTTAATAAATTTTAAAAAAGCACTTTGTTGAAAAGTCTCACAATGGAAAATGCTATCCACAACCAGAGAAAGAACTATGGAGTATGAATGCAGATGGAAGCATACTATTTGCTCTCCTTTTCCTTTGTTGTTTTGTTTTATTGCTTCTTTCTTGTGGCTCCTCCCATTGGTTTTAATTGTTCTTTACATCATGACTAATGGGAAAATATGCTTAATGTGAATGTATCAGTAGAGCCTATATCAGATTGCATGCTGTCTTGGGAGGGGAGGAAATGGAGAAGAAATTTAAAACTCAAAATCTTATGGAAATGAATGCTGAAAACTAAAAATAAATTAGTTATTTAAAAAATAAAAAAATTAATGTTTGCTGAAATATCGTCAAGATGAATAACTTTGAAAGACTTAGGAACTCTGATCAACACAATGACCAACCACCATTCCAGAAGACTCATGATTAAATGGGCAACTCACCTCCTGAGGGAGAGGTGATGGACTCAGAATACAGATTTAATTTTTTTTTACATTGCCAATGGGAATTTGTATTGGTTGACCATACATGTTTTTAACAGGGGCTTAGTTTTTCTTGCTTTCTCAATGTTGAAAGCTAGGGGGTGGGAGGAAGAGAATACAAACCTGAAAATAAAGTAGAATTGAGGTGTTTTTTTTTAAATGTTTGCTGAACTGAATTGAATTACTTATATATTATTTTAGATCACTCACATGTTGTTTAATACAGGTGTGCTTACAGTGGAATACACAGGAACTAACTCTGTGCTAGAAATATGACTGTCAATAAATACTTAGTGGTCAATATGTTTAAGGTACTTCTTTAAGGTACTACTTACCTACCTGTCTCCCATTTCACAACCTGGGCCTCTTTGGCTTCATCATAATCATAACATTCCCAGGGCCCCACTTTCTCCAAGGACAAACTCAGGCCTGGGGAAAAGCTCCACTTCCCAGAGCTGAGAGTTTTTGACTGCAGCTCTCTACCCTGCATTGAGGACACAGGTGCCGTTCGAAGTTTCTTTTCTTGTCCCCTCCAACTCTTAGCTCGAAGTCCCCAAGAGCCTCTCTGTCTCTCCTCCCTGCCCCCACCACCTGCCTGGGGATGTCCCTGTCACCTTATGCAGGAACTCCTTTGCCACCTTATAATCAGTGAGGTCCAGGGAGGAGGATACAACCAGCCGAAGGAGGAGAAAGCCTCCATCTTGACCTGTGAATTAGAGATGACAGAAAAATGAAAATACGGTCAAGTCCTGATTATAAATTCTAACCTAGGCAAAGAATTGGAAATTGAGAGGATGCCTATCAATTGGGGAATGGCTGAGCAAGTTGTGGTATATGAATGTGATGGAATACTATTGTGCTATAAGAAATGACGAACAGGCTGACTTCAGAAAAACCTGGAAAGACATGTGTGGTCTGATGCCGAGTGAAGTCAGCAGAACCAAGACAACGTTGTACACAATAACAGCCACATTGTGTGATGACTAATATTGATAAACTTAACCCTTCCTGGCAATACAAGGATCTAAGACATCTCCAGAGGCCTCGTGATGGAAAATGCTATCCACATTTAAAGAAAGAACTACGGAAGTTGAATTGCTATTTTTTTTCTCTTCTGCTGAGTTTTGTTTCCTCTTTCTGATGGTTCCTCCTATTGGTTTTAATTTTTACTTACAATATCACTAATGTGAAAATGTTTAATATGAATGTAAACATATAGCCTATATCAGATTGTGCGTTGTCTTGGGGAGGGTGGTGAGGAGGAAGGGGAAGGAAAATTTTAAACTCAAAAGCATATGGAAGTGATTATTGATAAATCAAAATAAATTAATTAAAAAAAAATTCTAACTTACCAAAAAAATGCCTGAGTAATCCCCAAAACATATAATAGAAAACTACTTAATTAGCATAGAATAGAGGATCTCTCCCTTTGCCTACTTTCTACCTTTCCTATTTCCTCTTTCCCTCTCACCTATCTCTTTCTTTCTGTCTCCCTTTCCCCCTCTTCTCACTCTTCTCTCTCCGTTTTCTTTATCTCTCCTTTCTTCTCTTCCTCCCTCTCCCTCTCTCTTTCCCTCTCTTCTCTTTTTCTCTCTTTTCTCTCTTCCTTCTTTCCCTCTATTTCTCTTCTCTCTTTCTTTTTCTCTTTCTCCTTTTTCTCTCCCTTCTCTTCTTCCTCCTAGCTTTCCTTCTCTCCTCTCTCTCTTTTTATCTCTTTCTCTCATTTTTCTCCTTCATTTTCTTCCTCCCTCTTTCCTTTCCTCTCTTCTCTTCTCTCTTTCCCCCTCTCCTTCTCTCTCCTCTACCTTTCCCTTCTCTTCCTCTCTCTCCCATTCCTTCTCTCCTTTCTCCTCTCTTTCTCCCTCTCTTTTCCTCTTCCTCTCATCCCTCCTCCTTCTTCTTTCTCTCTCTGTTCTCTCTTCCTTATTCTCTTCCTTCCTCTCCTTTTCTTACTCTCCCTGTCTCTTTCTCTTCTCTTCTTTTCTTTTCTCTTCCCTCCCCCACCCCCTTTTTCTAAGAGGCTCAGCATGAATCTTCAGTAGAGGTGAGAGGGCTACTAGCCAGAGGTGTTGCTGAGAATTATAGCATCTCAAAGCTGAAATGGACCTCAATCTATTGCAAACTTAAACCATATACCCTCTACACATCTCCATCAAGTGGTCACCTAGACTCTGCTTGAGGAATAAGCAACTGACTGTAGCCAGAGAAAGTCTCTTCTATTTCTGGATACCTCTAATTGTTAGGAAGTTTTCCTGACATGAAGTCTTAATCTACCTCTCTGCACCCTCCACCCATTGCCCCTGCATTGTTCTACCCTCTCTGACCAGGCAGTACAAATCTAACCCTCTTCCACATGGCAGATAGCCCTTCAAATTCTTGTTTTTATTCAGGGTTGTGTGTAATCTACAGTAGCATGTTTTATGGGCTCTACAGAGGTGATTCAATTCCAAAATACCCCTCCATATTTGCCCTTTCCAACCCACCAACCTAGGATTGCCCTCAGCATGTTCCTAGGAAGGCTTCTTCATGGGCCTTCAAAAGCATGACCTTTGCAGGAGTTTGAACCACTTTCTGACACCTATCCTAATAGGTGTCATTCTTCTGCATTAACTCTAGTTAAATCATGGACTTCTAGAGGCCTGTGCCTTTTATGTAAACTTTGTCACAGTCTTGACTTCAAAGTTCAAAAACCTTGGTTTTTCTACTGATTCATAGAGCAACCCTGGGCTAGCCACAAAACCTTAATTACTCCTCTATTAAGTGAGGATTGGTACTCACTGGAATCAGCGTCGGTGTTTTGGTTCATCAGGGCAGTGGCTGTATGCTTTCCTATTGTTGAGACTATTGCTGGGGTCTTGCCTGAGGTTAAGGTCTCGTCTCCGGAGAAATTCATTCCTATGATGGCGTTGGGTGCAGTTGAGGAGATAGAGAGAAGAGAGCTATTAGTCAGAGGGAATGTGATATCTTCTGTACTAACTGTGGCAGAGGTCTCAGGAAGGTAGAGGTCTTACCTGGGGCTGTTGTCCCTTCTGTGGTGGTATAGACTTTGTCTGAAAACTCATCAGGGGTAGCGAATTTGGTTGTTGTTGACCTTTCCTCTATGGAGATCCTAACTGTACTTGGGACCTCAGTGAAGACAGTTGTCTCAATTGGAGCCGTGGCTTCTTCTGTGGTAGGAATGTAGATTGTATTCAGGGTGTCTGTTGCCATTTTGCCCGTAGTTTCTACAGTGTGACCTGTGATATCAAGGGTCTCAGCTGCATTAGGAGTTTCAGCTGTGGTTGACACTGCCATGGTGATCTTGTCGGTTGTTGTCAAGATCTCAACAACTGTGCTCAACTCTTCTTCAGCTGAGGAAGATGAAGCCGATGTCTCAGAAAATAAATTAGTCTTTAAGAAGTCTGAGGTCCCTTCTTCTGTAGAGCTGTCCACTGTCATTGAGGTCCCAGGGAGAATGGTGGTCTTAGCTCTAGTGCCACTTGTTTCTGTGATGTCACCAGTTAAGGTTGTTTCTTCACCTGTGGTCTTTGGTTGTAAGTTATTGCCAGCTACACCTAAAGGCTCAGCAGAGGTATCTATTTCAGGGGTTGTAGTCTCCGCTTCCGTGTTGGTATAGGCCATGGACAAAGTTACAGCAGTGGTGGTCTTTATTCCTTGGGTGCTGTCAGCTGTAGGGAAGGAATCGATGAGGTTGCTTGTCAGCGTGGTGGCTTCTGTGATAGGACTGACTGTAGTCAAGGTCCCAGGGAGGGTTGTGGTCTCGATTGGGGTCCCTTCTCTTTCTATGGTGTTGCTGACGACAGTCTCTTTTCCTGGTGGTATCATTATTCCAGAGGTCTCCTCAAGGACAATGGTCCCAAAAGGGTTTGAGATCTCTGATTCTGTGAAAGTATCAGTTGTGGTCATGGCCTCAGTGAAAGTGGGGGTCTTGATGCTGGTTTCATAGTTTTCTGGGATGCTACTGCTCAAAGGAGAAGTCCAGGGGTGGTCTGTCACAGGCGGTAAGTAGTCATAGTGTCCTTTGGGATGATGTCTATGTTTTCCATGATTTTGGTGGGGTGGAAGAGGATGCAGGGGTGGCTCTATTAATGATTTCCAGACTACTTTGTGGAAGATGCTCATCCTAGGCCAAGCTTCAGCTGAGGCAAGAGATTCTGTTGTGTCTACCTCAGCTTCTGTAGTAGAATAGGCTATTGAAAAAGTCTTAGCTTGGTTGTGGGTCTTGTCTATGGCTGTCCCTGATTCTGAGGCAATTGTAACAGAGGCAATGGTGGGGTCAGTGCTCTCCAGTAGCGTTGTGGTCTCCATTTTATCCAGGGCATCCATTATCATCAGTGACTCCACTGGGGAAAAGAACTCAGCTATCTCAGTCTCAGCTTTGTAGGCAGTTCTGGCTAGTGCCAAGGTCTCAAAAATTAGAGATGTTTTGGATTTCAAGGGAGTGTGGGTGACAGCTGAATTCTCATAGAGTCGAGTACTCCCAAAGATGCTCTCTGAGGCGGTCAGTCCTCCTGGGGTCACTGTTATTGTTTCTGTGTTGTTGATTTTCACTAACTGGTCCGTGTTGTTGACATCTAGACCTGTGTTAGATGAGACTGTGTCTGGGATATTATTTCTATCTTACAGTCATGAAGATGAAAAGACTTTACAAACGTCCCCTCCTTTATCTTCTGAGTAATTGGGGAAGCAGGGCCCTTGTTTTCACCTTCATTCATTCATTCATTCATTCATCAAACATGTACTATGTACTGAGGGAATTACAGGGATGACAAAATAACAAGGTCCCTACCCACATTGTACATCTGTACAGACAGGAAAGTTACACAACCTGCCAAAGACTTCATCAGAAGACTACTAAAAAGAGAAAAACAACGTTTTTGTTCAGCTCTGCAGAGCAGAATTCACTTTAACTAAATTGTGATGCAAGCAAAACTTATTCACTGCCCTCTCCTTCTCTACACAGTGCTTCTTTCTTACACACACACATACACACACACACACACACACACACACACACACACATTTTCAATGCAGTGACACTGTACAGAGAGCCAGTCCACCAATATACTCTCGATCATATCTCTAGTCAATGGTTTCATGAAATGCCATGGGCAAAAATATTTTTAATCTGTTGATGAGCTTCTCAGAACTTATCCATGCTGAACTTAGCCCTAACTCTAGGAATAAGTGAACTTCTTTTTGGAGACAATTGGGGTTAATTGACTTGCCCAAGGTCACACTGCTAGTAAATGTCTGAGGCTGGGTGAACTCGGGTCCTTTTGACTCCAGGTTCTACCCACCACACCGTCTAGCAGTCCCAGAATAAATAAACTTTGAAAGAAAATTACAGAGAGCCAATGTGATGTAGATGAGAGCTGTCTTTATGTCAAAAAGACCTGAGTTCAAGTCCTGCCTCTAACAGATGTTGGTTGTTTGTTTAATCATTTCCCCTCCTCAAGTCTCATGTAACTCTCTAAGATAAGGGTTCTTATGGCCCACAAATTCCTAAGGGATCCACATATAGCTTTCAGAGGGTCCATTATCTTGGTTAAGGGAAAAAATCTTTATTTTTACTAACTTCTAACTGACAGTTTTTCCTTCAATTATAAAAAAAAAAACCATTATTCTGAAAAGGAATCCATAGCCTTCACCAGACTGCCAAAGACACAAAGAAGGTTGAGAAGCCTTGCTCCAAGTCTATGAGCCTAATAGCAGCAAGTACTAATCTACATTGGTAAAGGCAATTTCCTCTTTGGGGGTTCTATATACCATTAAAATCACAGGTCTCATCCAAAAGAGAGAGAGAGAGAGAGAGAGAGAGAGAGAGAGAATTACAGGAAGGGATCATACTTAACTCAGGGCAGATAGATGGTGCAGTGGATAGAGTACCAGGCCTGGTGTCAGGAAGTCCTGAGTTCAAACCCAGCTATGTAACCCTGGGCATTTAACCCAATTTGCCTCCATTTCCTCATCTGGAAAATAAGCTGGAGAAGGAAATGGCAAACTACTCCCTATCTTTGCCAATAAAACCCTAAATGTAGTCACAAAGAGTCAGACACAACTGAAAATGACTGAACAACAACAAACATAAAAACCCCACTTCACTCAAAAGAAAGTACCTTTCTCAAATAAGGGACTTTCAGGCATTGTGGTCACCAGTTGGGAGGGGATATTTCAGGAGAATGGCTCTGAATGGTAATACCAGTCAGATCACACCATTAAGGCCTACTTAAGAGTTGAGTGTACCTGTCTCTTCATGAATGAGTTTCTCTGTCTATGAAGCCTATGGAAAAATTACTTGTACCTATTTCCATGGGTTTGCAATTCATATATAAAATCAAAAACAAAATCTGTTTAGCATTCAAAGCCTTTCATAATCTGTACACTTTCTACCTTTCCAGTTTTCTTACAGCTTTTTTTTTTTTTTTGGTTAGGCAATGGGGTTAAGTGACTTGCCCAGGGTCACACAGCTAGTAAGTGTATTGTGTCTGAGGCTGGATTTGAACTCGGGACCTCCTGAATCCAGGGCCAGTGCTCTATCCACTGCGCCACCTAGATGTCCCTTCTTACAACTTTTTAACAGCATCTTCCCCTACCCCAAGTACTCTTGGACCTAGAAACTTCTGACCTCCTTGCTATTCCTTACACAGGAACAGTATCTCCATCTCAATCAATAAACTCAAGCAGTCAGTAAACACAGTACTAAGTACTGGGATACAAAAAGAGGCAAAAGACAGTCCCTGCCCTCAAACTGGCTGCTCCCCATGCCTGAAACCCTCTCCCTCTCATCTCTACCCCTCCGTTTCCCTGGCTTCCTTCAAGTTTCAACTAAAACCTTACTTTCTACAGGAAGCTTTTCCTGTGCTGATGTTTTCCCTCTGCTGTTTATCTCTATGCCGTATATATCCCGTTTGTACATAACAGTTCACACATTGTCTCCCCCGTTATACTGTGAGCTCTATGAGAACAGGGACTGTCGTTCACCTTCCTTTGCATCTCCAGTGTTTAGCATGGTGCTTGGCACATAGTAGTGAGGAAAATTAACATTATGATGGATCATTAGATAATTAATGTTATTCTGTAATCCATCCTTTTCCCTATTTTGTCAAAATCCCCTCTCTTAGCCTAACTCAAAAGGAGACCTCTCCCAGTCCAAACTAAGGCACAGTTGAGGAATGTGATCACTTCTAGTCCCAGAGCACCTGCTTGTTGACCAGTTTAAAGTAGGACCCATTTCTGTTTACCCCTAAACAGAGAACCAGCTTGGGCAAGGCCTATCCCAGGGGACAACTTACTTCTCCTTTTCAAAGCTCAGGGTGACTTGGTCTCTAAGGGGATGGCTAAATTGGGAAGAGAAAAACCTGATTGAGATAGTTTTTATTTATTTTTTTTCTAGCCAAGATTGCCAAGATTCTCGGAGCAGAATCCAGGCTGGATAGCACATTTCAGTCATTCAGGAGAGGAGGCCCCACTGGACTTCCATCTACTTTTAAGCAGAAATCTGGTTCTCTTGCGGGGGGTGCAGCTCAGAGAAATCACTGAAGAACGTGTACATGCATCTTCCCTTGCTTGGTGATGGGTCTTAGTTAAATTATCTGTTAGGAATGAAACAAACCTCAGATATCATTTGGTCCAAGCCCTTCCTTTCATGAATGAGGACTCTCTCTTTGCCAAGCCTTCATCACACAGCTGCAACTGTTTCAATAGCCCCAGGGCCCAATCCAGAGCTGATACTGACTTAGTGCTAAAAAATGGTAAACTCTACCCTCTCTGACCTTCCCTTCAGACCTCTGCCTGCCAACCCCAAGAATGGTTAACACCCCCAAGCCCCAAAATTTAACTCCTGGTTTTTCTCTCCTCTGCCTTGCTTGGTCCCCAAACTCCACATTCCACCTTCTATCTCTGTGCCTTTGCATCATTTGTCTGTCGCCCCAGGAATGTTCTGCCCCCCTCACCTCTGCTGTGAGTTTCCTGGATTCCTTTAGGCCTCAGCTCAAATCCAATCTTCTGCCTTTCCTGGCACACTGCCCCCCCTACTCCCTTTCCCCCTTTCAGATCACTCGAATATGTTATTGAGTCATTCTTCGGTTGTGTCCAACTTTTTGTGACCCCCACCTCCCCACACTTGGGGTTTTCTTGGCAGAGATGCTGGAGTGGTTTGCATTTCCTTCTTCAGCTCATTTTATAGATGAAGAAACTGAGGCAAACAGGGTTAAGTGACTTGCCCAGGGTCACACAGCTAGTAATCATCTCAGGCTAGGTTTGAATTCGGGTAGATGTGTCTTCCTGACTCCAGGCCCAGCATTCTATCCACCTAACTGCATATGTATATATATATTTGTCTTGTGTGTTCCTAGATATTTAGATTCTCTCTCATTAAAATGTGAGTTCCTTATTATATAAAAGGCAATCAGACTGTACATACCTTTTGATTCAGCAATACCACTACTAGATCTGTATCTCAGAGAGATCATAAAAAAGGGAAAAAGACCTACATGTACAAAAATATTTATAGCAGCCCTTTTTGTGGTGGCCAAGAATTGCAAATTGAGGGAATGCTTATCAATTGGAGAATGGCTGAACAAGTTGTGGTTTATTAATGTAATGGAATACTATTGTTCCATAAGAAATGATGAGTAGGCGAATTTCAGAAAACCCTGTAAAGACCTGCATGAACTGATGCTGAGTAAAAAGTCAGCAGAACCAGAAAAACATTGTACACAGTAACAGCAACATTGTTTGATGATCAGCTTTGATAGACTTAGCTCTTCTAAGCAATGCAATAATCCAAGACAATTCCAAAAAACTCATGATGGAAAATGCTGTCCACATCCAGAGAAAAAACTATGGAGTCTCAATGCAGATTGAAGCATACTATTTTCACTTTTTTTTTGTTGTTTTCTGTGGGTTTTCCCTTTTGTCCTGTTTCTTCTTTCACAACTAATGTGGAAATATGTTTAACATGACTGCACATGTATAACCTATACCAGATTGCTTGCCATCTTGGAGAGGGGAAAAAAGGGAGGGAGAAAAATTTGGAACTCAAAATCTTATTAAAAAATGAATGTCAGGGCAGGTAGGTGGTGCAGTGGATAGAGCACCAGCCCTGAAGTCAGGAGGACTTGAGTTCAAATCCAGCCTCAAACCAAACACTTGACACGTACTAGATGTGTGACCGTGGGCAAGTCACTTAACCACAATTGCTTCACTAAAAAAAAAAAAAAAAAGAATGTCAAAAACTATCTTTACATGTAAAGAATAAAATACTATTTACCAAAAAAAAATGATGTTTAAAAGGCAATAAAAGATGACTAGAAAAAAAATGTGAGTTCCTTGAGAACATGTATTGTGGGATTCTTCCCCCCCCCTTTCTTTGTATACCCAGAGTTTAGCACAGTGCCTGGTAAATAGTAGGTGCTTAATAAATGTTTTTTTTTCCTTCTGAAAATATTAGTGGTAAATGATAACCTTAATAGGATGATTAAGCTTGTTTATAGATCACAATGTCACTTAATGAATGTTTGATTATTTCACTCTATCTGCTGACTATTGTTTGACCATCAAGATAACTAGGGGCAGA